CTGATATTTTGTTTTATTTGGTATGAAATATACAACTATACAAAATTTTGCAAAACAAGTAATAAAAATATAAGTGGTTTACCTACAGGGGTGGATTGGTCTATCGAGAAATCGGGAATCTTCCCGATGGGCCGGTCCTTGTTTGAGCCGCTCTATATAATTATATAATTCCCAAAAAAAAGTTTTATTTTGTAAAATAAATAAATATATATTTAAAGATGCTTTAAGATCAAACTTCCAGTTCAAGTTGGAACTGATTAATCATGTGACTTACCCAAAACTATTATAACTATAATTATTATAGTAAAGTTATTGTAGATTTTACTAATTTAGGGCTGAAACTAAATAAATTTTGAAATTTACGCAAAATAAAGCATTTTTTTGGGAGGGGGGAAGAATTAAATAGTTTAATTTGCGGTTTATGGGCTGATTTGTTTCATATTACCTGGGCCGAAAATAATTGCCAATCCGCCCCTGTTTACATATCATGAAAAAGGCACGATGTAGGAGGGCTCCCAATGAAGCTACTTAAGGGATTTTTTTTTTTTTTTTTTTGTAGGAGAAATAGTTTTATTGGAGGAGGTCTCTGATCCATTTATGCTTAAGTCTTCGTGGGGGATTGTCGAGGATGTGGGATGAAGCTAGGTGTCTTATGTTGGGGTTAGATGTGTGCTAAATTTGTTGTGTAGTTCGAGGAAGGCAATTTTTGTAATTTGGTTTACATATTTAATTTTAAGTTCGGAGTGTAAGGTTTTGTTACCAACAAACCAAGGACAATTTGTAATAACGCGTAAGTATATGAATTGAAATGATTGGATTTTTTATACATTACTTGGAGCGGCATTACCCCAAATTTGTATACCATAATACCACAAAGGAAAGATTAATGCTTTGTAAATAAGGATTTTTAGTTTCAAGTTTAATTTTGATCGTAGGAGAGGACGTAGTAGATGTAATCTGGTATTTAATTTATTTCTTTTATCGGATATGTGGTCTTTCCAGGTTAATTTATTGTTAAAAATGAGCCCCTAAGTATTTAACTTGGTTGGTTTGTGGTAATATTTGGTTATAAAATTTGACTGGTGGACATTTGTTTGGGCGAAGGGAGAAAGTAATATGGCTAGATTTGTTTGTATTAATTTTTATTTTCTATAGTGTGAACCAATTTTGAAGTGAGTTGAGGTTATTTATTTGTATGACTTTTTTTGGCTCTAACCAATACGTATGCTGCAATGTATCCTTTTATTCGTAAGTCGTCATCCTTTGTGTGTGTTTCTTGTAAGGCAATTATATCTACTCTTTCCTTGTTCATGATTTTGGTTAGTGCTTAACATTTTGTATTCGAGATTCCTTCAATGTTGAAATGGCAGATTCTGAGATCATTACCAACATTAAGCGTCAAGTAGTCCTTAGAAGGACCGTTTTCGATTGGTATCGCTGCCGATTGCTGATGGTGTTGTTTTGAAAATCTGAGCATCAGGTCCTATTGATGGTATTAGTTACGCTCGTAATTTTTGTCTTCGTACACAGGGTCTTCAGAATAATTACAAGCGCATGCAGGGAGGGCCTCGCGCAGGCTACCGCCATCCTCCCTAATGTAAGTTGAAGTGATGTTGGAGTTTGAAACTTGCAACTATGGGGTCAGGATCGGAGGCTAAGTTACTAGTATCGTCGGCATAAGTTGTTGAGGTTAGTGAAGGAGGATGTGGGTATATCTGCAGTGTAAATATAAAATTAAATATAAAAGGGAAAAGAGGTCACTGCATTGTGGTACACCTGCGTTTATACGGTGACTGAGATAGGATTTGAGTATTGAATAATATGGGGATGGAAAGTTTGTTTCTAGTCTGTGGAGAAGTCCATCATGCCATACTTTGTCGAACGCTTGGGCAACGTCAAGGAAGATACCTGAGCAGTATTTTTTTTATTCGAGGGAGGATGAAATGGCATCGATGAGACGGTGTAAAGGGTGAATATTAGAGTGATTTATTCAGAAGCCAAACTGGGAGATGGGAATTATTTTGTTTATTTCGGAAATGTTTTAGAGACATTTTAATAGAAGTTTTCAAATAATTTTCCAAGGAATAGAAGGAGGCTGATTAGACGGTATGAAGATGTAGTATTTTTGGGTTTACCTGGTTTAGGTACTAATATGATTGTCGAAAGTTTCCAGATTGATGGAAAATAAGAGAATCTAAGCATTGCATTGATTATATGAGTTATTTTGAGAATTGCTTTGTTTGTGAGTTGTTTTAATATATTATTTATAATGAGATCATATCCTGGGGCTTTTCTATTTTTTATTTTGATGATTGCAATCTTTATTTCATTTGGAGTGAAGTGTTTGGGGGGTAGAACAACGGGTAGGGTGCTATTTATTGATTGATTGATTTTATTTAAATGGTTGATTGGCTGGTTAATAGTGTTGGTTTTGAATACTTCGTGAAAATATTCAGTAAATGCGTTCGATTTTTCTATATCGGATATAGCTAGTTTGTTATTGGTGGGATTTGTTCTTTCAGTTTTAGTATGCTTTTCGTTTTACGCCAGAGGGAGCCGTTGGTTGATTGGAGTTTGATGAAATTGTTTTCGTAACGTTTGGTATTTATTTTATAAAAATTTTTTTTTAATCTGTTTGATATAGAGTTTAGTTTTAGTTTGTCTAGAAGGTGTCTGGTTGATTGCCATCTAGTTCTGGATCTTCTTTTTTGGGCTATCATTTATTTAAGGTGTTTCGGGATACTGTTAAATTTAGTTGGATTTGTATGTTTGGTTGAAGATTCAAATTTTGTTGAGAGAGGAAAAGAAGTCTTTTAAAATATTGATTGGATTTGTGGGAGGAAAATATGCTGCTATAATGGTAGTGTTTGTGTTGTTTATATTTATTTGGATATTTGTACTTTGTATTGTTTGGTTATCAATTGGGGGACTGATATTGTATTTGATATTATTACGTATAAAAATTGCCGTTCCTCCATGAGCAGTACCGTCCGGATGATCAGTTCGGATAGTAGAGTAATTTGGGTAGAATAAGGTTTTGTTGAGAGTAAGATGGGTTTCGGTGATAAGTGCAATGTCAATGTTTCTGTTGTTGAGGAAAATGTGTATATCGTCATAATGGTTTTATAAGCCGTTTGAATTCCATAGAAGGAATGGAGGGGTGTATTGTTTGAGTGTTTGTAAGTCATTTTATTAGTAGAGTATCGATGAGTTTATTAAGTAGTGTGATAAGGGAGGTTGTTGAAGATTGGAATTGGACTAGGAAGTTATTTAATTGGGTTGTATTAGAGATGGTATTTGAATTATCGCAGAATTCTGCGGTAGTATAGTTTTTTATTGGATAAGAGTGAGTATTTGGGGAGGTTTTGGTATAGATTGCGAGGCGCTTCATTGGGATTGATAAAGCGAGGGGAAATTTTCTTCTTGTCTAGTGTTGGTTTTGTTTGTAGTTGAGATGGTGTTTTGATTTACGGATGTTTTGTTAGTTTTCATTGACATTTTTCCTTTTTGAAGGAGTTTGTATTTGGGACATCCTTTGTAAGAAGCAGGACGAGCTCATTACATAGTGCACATGTTGCTAGAGAATTTACGTATTTTTGATATTCATTAGAAAGGAAGGGTTTCTCCATATTTTACACATCTAGGTGTATGATGACAATATGTTCTAGTATGTCCGTAGTTTCTTAAACAGTGGACTGGGTTTTTTTTTTTTTTAATGGGGCGCTTCGATTTTGATTTTGGTGTACCATAGTGAATCGACTTTGTATATATTATGATTTGATGGAGAGGGTTCAAGGTCCACAATAAATCAAGGTAATGGATTTTCGGTTTTGTATTGGAGATAGCTCGTGATTGAATGAGAAATGAAACCGAGAGTAAGAAGTTCTTCTTTGATATAAGCTGTTGGAGTGGAATGGTGTAAATGGCGGATTACTACTAGGAAACCTTGTTTTTCGTTTATTTGAAAAGTGTAAAAGTTCACATTATTTATTTCAAGTAACTTGATAATTTGTCTATATGCTTTTGTTGAGTACGTCATTAATTTTATACCAGATGAGGAGCTCTTGGTGATAAATCCATCGGGGTCAGTGAGGGATTTTATTTGTTTGCAGAATTCGAGATAGTTGATATCGTCTTTTATGTATATAAGCGGTATTTTGATTGGAGCGATTATGTTTTCGGTTTCGTTTTCGTTTATTTTTCCATTGTCGGCGAGGACTGAGAATCGATTTTGACTCGAAAAGGAATTTGTTTTTTGAATTTTGGTTTAGGAGAATTTGGTGATCTAAGCGGTACAGTTTTCCAACTATTTGTACTGTCGTTGTTTTTAATAATATATTATTATTATATAATAATATATCATTATTATTAATAAATTATTTTGATATCTGAAAAAATACTAAGAAATACAGATCTTGTATTAGTACTATGCATCTATATGGTCTATAGCAGTGGTTTTCAAACTGGGTGCCGTGGCACAATGGTGTGCCGCGAGCATCCACTAAGTGTGCCGCAGTCTTCAGAAAAATGTTTTCCATAAATAACTGACAGCATTAAATTGTGATATAAGAAAATTAATGCCTTCAAACGTAATGCAATCATTATGCACTTATCAATCGAAAGTTAATAGGAATAAAGTGATAAGTTAAGTAATATTAGATAACTATTGAATTGTAAATTTTAAAATATATAGGTAATATTATTAAACCCTGACAGTTTATCTATTGCAACCGGCTGTCCCGTATACGCTGTATTCGTAGTGTAGTTTTTCAATTGTATTGCAATCTATTGTAACAGCATACGAATATTAAAAAATAATACATTTGTGGTCTTCATTAACTAATAATTTATTAGTTAATAACATATACTAATAATTAAAATCATGGATAAATTTGTTACTCGTTCTGTTGACAATAATGCTTCAGTGAATCAACTAACAAAAAAAAAAAAAAAAACCAAAATATAGTAATATTCGTCAGTATCATGAAAATTACTTAAAAATGGGATTTTCTTGTACTGGTGATACGCATGATCCTCGTCCATGGTGCCTTGTATATGGTGAAAAATTATCAAATGAAGCAATGGTACTCAGTAAACTTAAACGTCATTTGTTTTCTAAGCATTCACATTTGATTGACAAAAATATTACATGTTTTCAACGATTATTAAAGTCACAATCTCAACAAAGTAAAAATATGATAAAAATTGTGAAGATCTCTGAAAAATCTCAAGAATCAAGTTATATAGTAACAGAGCTTGTGGCTAAAACAATGAAACCACATACAATAGGTGAGCAGATAATTTTACCTGCTTGCCGTGAAATTGTGAAAATATTCTTTGTAATAGAAGCTGAACAAGAAATATTGAAAATTCCTTTATCTGATAATAAAATTAGTAGGCGCATAAACAACATGTCCGAAGTTATTGAGCACCAAGTATTAAATAAGCTACACGATTCTCATAGGTTTGCGCTACAATTAGACGAATCTATAAATTTAAGTGGAAAAACACAGCTTTTGGTTTTTGTGCGCATGGTAGTTGACGATATTAGTGAAAACTGTTTTTGTTGTAAAGCATTGCCCGAAACAATGAGAGGTGAAGATGTTTTTAAAGTTTTGGACGATAATTTATCATCAGTAAGTTTATCATGGAACAATTGTATTGGAATATGTACTGATGAAGCGCCTTCAATGACTGGCTCAATTAAAGGTTTCATTTCTTTAGTCAAGATAAAAAATTCAAAAATTATTTTTACCTACTGCTTCTACCATAGAGAGATCCTAATGGTAAAATCTTTAGTAAGTGATTTACAAAATATATTTGATCAGGTCGTAAAAATCATAAATTTTATTAAAAGCCGATCTCTTAAATCACGACTATACGAAAAAATTTGTGAGGAGATGGATGCAGACTATTTAAGATTGATTTTATACAGCTCAGTAAGATGGCTCTCTAGGGGCAATATTTTATCACGATTTTACAATTTGAGAGAGGAGTTACTTGTATTTTTAACCATAGAAGAATCTGAATTCAACTTTCTTGGTGATGAAGTATGGTGGACAAAGTTATCCTTTTTAACTGATTTGTTTGAACATCTCAATAAACTAAATTCAAGTAAACAAGGTCGCAATGAAAATATGTTAACATCTTCAGATAAAATAATGGCTTTCATCGAAAAATTTAATCTATGGAAAACTAAAGTTAATCAAGGTAATCTAATTATGTTTCCACGTCCTGCTCTGCTAGTTGCGGATGATAACATTTTGTCATTAATAGTCGAGTTTATCGCATTTTAGGTTGGAAGTAAAAATGAATAAATATTTTCCAAGTATTAATATTAAAATTTACGAGACCTTTTCAAAGTATCTATTAGTTACTTGGTTGATTTAAAACTTGTTGAAGAAGAAAATCTCTGTTCAATTAAAAATAATCGAATAGTGCAGTTGAAATTCAAAGAGATCACACTCAATAAATTCTGGATATATGTTTCTGAAGAATATCCAGAAATATCTATAAAAGCATTGACGATTCTTTTACCGTTCTAAATTTCATAATTTTGCGAACAGGGGTTTTCAGCGCTTACGAATTAGAAAAATAAAAAACGTGAAAAAATAAATTTAATGGAAGAAGAAATGAGGGTATGTCTGTCAACTATTCGTCCATTAGGCACACATTTCTCATTAAATGCATGTACAAACTACACTATTTTTTTGTTAATAAATTTAATAACTAATACAATGTAATTATAATTAAAAAAAATTTGTCAGCTCATCAAGCGCACTTTTCTAATTAAATGTATATAATTATAATTTAAAACAACTTTGTTAATCTAAAAAAAAGGTCAGTGTCCCGTGAAAATTTTTCGAAGAGTACGGTGCGCCGTGTCTAGTAAAAGTTTGAAAACCACTGGTCTATAGACTAATAAATAATAATATAATAACATTGGAGGCCCAATTTAGAAAAAAATATTATGTACAACGAATCTCATATCTGAAACAGTTTACAGTTATCAAACTGTTATACTAGTGATCCCTATTTCACGTGTTAAAAAGTTTTAATATTTACTTTTTCATTGTTACATATAATAAATAGATTTATCTCAGAGTTGAGAAATTTCTATTTTCATAAAGATATACAATAATTAAATATAATAAATATAAAAATATATTTATAAATATAAATATATAAAATATATTTTATTTGATATTAGAAGATATAGGTACCTAACTTATAACAAAAGTAAATAATAATCAGATAATTCAATCGATAATCGCTGTACATAAAGGCCTGTTGCTATACAGTGTTTGATGTATATCCGTACGACCGTGCGGTGTATTCTTGAATACGTGAATAACGCTAATTTATGTGTATTAAATATACGTGATTATAAATTTTCCATTCACGTGAACACGAACTCCGTATTCAGGTACATATTAATTCACGTTTTCAAACGAGACCTCTATGTTATACCAACACATTATAAATATAATTTTATGTTATTGGATTTCTATATTGGCTAAGGCCTCTTTAACACGTGACGATTTTCTCCGTACGGAAAAAAACCGTACGGTTTTTATCCGTGAGCCATTAATAGTAAACTAATAAAATTAACTAAAGCTTTCACACTGGACGGAGGCGGGTTTTTTCCGTACGGACGATTTAAAACAGCCGTCTCAATGACTGAAATATACGGCGACCGTGCCGTCGCCGTCTTATCAGTGGCGTAGGTGACTACGCGAACGCATTCACAAAAGACGATTTTTATTCGTCTGCCATCCGTTTTTGTGGTCACTTGTACTAAAGCATTATATATTATTAATTAAAGAATTTGTTTCCGTCTGCGCGTAATTCTTTCATTAAAGAAACGAATGTCCCCACTTCATCTCTTCTCTGATTAATTGGGTGCACCCAATAAATACGATTTCGTTGTTTTCGATACTTTTGAATACGACGATATAAAAAACACATGGCAATAGTGCGTTTTCGATACATGTTGAAAGCCAACTGAGTTAAAATTAAAATATATAACCAAACATAGACGATTCACGGGAAAAATACGTTATGTGTGAAAACAAAGTCCGTACGGAAAAAAATCGTACGGATTTTAACCGTACGGACAAAACCGTCTCGTGTGAAAAGGGCCTAATAGTTAAAAATAAAATGGGAAAATTTATAGTGATAATGCCGACAACAACAATACTGCTATATCATAGTTTCAGCACAGTATAGTATACACCAGTGGTTCTCAACCTTTTTTTTATCACGGCACACCAGTGGCACACGCAGGGGAGGGGGTAAGGTGTTGTACCCTCCCTCCCCCGAAATTTTCTCTGAGGTCTAGATTAAAATTTACAAAGTTTACAAGTTTGAAATATGAAGAGCTAGTATTAAATACTTAGTATCATTGATTATAGAATAGTCTATTCTATTATCAATGCTATTATTTAAGTCAAAATATATAAAGGATTTGCATAATTTTGTTAATTGTAAAATGTGTTATATTTTTACTTTGACTCCCCCCTCAAAAAAAAAAAAAAAATCATGTGTGCGCCACTGCGGCACACTATTATACATCAAAAGTTTTCGCGGAACACTCATGCACTTGACAACAACAAAAACTTTGACTACGAGCTAAGATATCCAATTGGGTTAAAACCTTACAGTTTACCTACACATATATCCACTGCAAAATTAATTGACATTAAGAGTGCGCAATCCTTATGCTACTTTTTCAGAATTAACAACTGACCTATCTCTTGAGAAAGAAAAACAGCTGGCAAAAATTTAAGATACTACGAACAATACGACTGAAATATAATGAATTACTACTAATTAAATTTTGGATGTATGTAGTCAGAATATCCTGTAATAGCAAAAGAAGCAATCAACGTTTTGTTATACTTTTTAACCACTTATTTATACGAGTTGGGCATTTTGGCATTAATAAACATAAAAAAAACAAACAATTTCTCTTTATCATATAATATTCCTTTGCTTGAATAATTAAGTTCATTATATTTTTTTAAAAATAAATATAATGAAATAAAATATATTAAAATATTATCAATCACAAATATCAAATATTTGTCACAGTACACCTAGTCTATCTCGCGGCACAGTAGTGTGCCGCGGCACACTTGTTAAGAACCACTGGTGTACACGGTTACCAATTTTTGGATTTCGTTGAAACTTTGTGTCTTGTTTTTTATGTTTATTTTCAGGCGCGGATTCAGGGGGGGCTATGGGTGCTCGGGCACCCCCTGTCGCCTTGGCCACCAACAAAATAAATTTATATTATAAATTATGTTATTTCTTATTTTTCAAAATAATAATAATAATAAATAATAATATCGGTTATTCCGTTATCGGAATTTAAATAATTTAATATCAGATATCAAAAATAGATTTTTAGGTCACGGACACGAAACGATTATGTATTTACAATATTTAATACCATTTTTCCTACTTGAAGATACAGATATCGAAAAAATTATTAAATCGGCCAAATTTTATATCGATGATCTAATTGGCTCGATAGAAGAGGTTAGAGGTGAAGTTACTTTGTGGAAACAATTTTGGAAATCCCAATTAGATAAACCTAAAACTGCTATAGAAGCTTTGACTCATGCATCTGAATTTTATCCTAATATAAAGGAATTGCTAAAAATTATTTGCGTTATACCAGTTACCACTTGCACCGCAGAAAGAATATTTTCCTCACTTCGACAAACAAAAACATATTTAAGATCAACAATAGGAGAGGATAGATTAAATGGACTTATGCTTCTTAATATTCATAGGGATATTAAAATTACTCCAAAGGAAGTTATTGAAGAATTCAATGAAAAACACCCAAGAAAATTACAGTTACAATATATGTAAGAAATTATTGTTATTTTTAAGTTTATATTTAATAAATACTGATGTATGAAAAAAAAGTTAGCACCAATAAATCAAATAGAAAATATTAATTTAAATAAATAGAAAGGTGTAACAATATTTTTTTTTTTGAGCACCCCCTGTCAAAATTTTCTGGATCCGCGCCTGTTTATTTTATAATATGATTCTTATTTTTATTATTATCAAGTATTAAGAATTAAATTATTTAATATTTTTTTTTAACACATAGTAGTAACAGTTTATAATAAACGTGCTGTTAAAAACAATACTAAAATACTATACTAATGACCGATAATAAAAAAAGCTTCAGTGGACACCAAAAATGAAAAAAGAAGGATATTCAAGAGAAAATGTCAAAATTTTCGAAAATCAACAAATTTTTTTCTACAGTTCCTTGTATAGGTAAGTAAAAAATTGTTATTCTGTGCTGAAACAATGCTAACGCAGTTTTCGCCTTGGTCTGGTTTTAAACAGGAAAATGTAGAAAATTGTAAAGTACCTATTATTTAGTTATACGCTGATTGCTGAATAATATTTACTTAATATATATTATTATTATTATATCTTTAATATGCGTTCAAAAGAAGTTAAACCATATTTTTATCCATATGAAAAATCAGGGCTGTATTCAATGAAGGGCAAGATGGCATGGGCCAGGGGCGCAATTCTAAGAGTGGCGCAAATTTCAGCACTACTCATGTAATATTTTTCATAAAATATATGAAAAAGATGTAGTTAAAACAAATTAATTTGATAAATTTGTCTCTATAAAAGCAAGAAAAGTACCATTGTAATATTGTATTAAAATAAATTTAAAATTATCTAACAAAATTATATAAAAAAAAAATTTGAAGAAAATCACATATTTTTATAACGTAATGATTGTTTATATTTTAAAGTAATACAAATAGTTATTAAAGTTAATTAGTAATTATTACCTTGTACCTATGTTTTTATACATGTTTTATGTATCTCAAATGATTTTTTGTAAAAAAATGCAAATTTCTCTTGGGGGGGGGGCAAGTACAGTGATTCGCCAGGGGCGCAACCAGACCTCAATAAGGCCCTGGAAAAATTTTTCAAATATTCAATAAATCCAACTGGAAAGTTAATAGTTATAATTTTTAACATAACACTTTTTGACCGCGCACCAAAAATATATTATTATTATTATTATTATTGTTATTGTTACAATATAACCTATTAAATACTACTGTATTTTATAGCTGATGAACCTCAAGCTTCAGAATTAAATGAATTAATCCAATCACCAGAGATTTAAATCGATGAAAAAACTGTTGATAATTTGAATACAGGTAAATTAATCAATTAATCATAATGTTAATATCAATATTTTAGTCATAATTAATTTAAATATTTCTAGTAGGAGTATTAAATGTCTAGTTAGATATATAGCATATATAGTTAAAAGTAAAATCGTATTATCATTATTCATTATTAATAGGGTGACCTGCTATGCACATTTTTTTCTAATTTAAAATAATATTTTTTGTACTATGTATCAATTTCACTCAAATTATTAAATCATAATTAAATCCTTAATACCATAAACCATATTTTTTTGTACCTGATCTAAAAACAAAACCCTCAGGTGCCAGAGAACTTATATTCAAATTTTTCTAGATTTAAATAGATTGTATGAAATTATATTTTTGTTAATACAAATAAAAAGCCTTAGGGCACTGGAGGACGTCTGCACAACATTTTCTAAATTAAACCTTTAAATCAATTTTTTTGAACTTAATATAAATTTGAATAAAATATATTGGTGATTATTTTTATTTATTAATTATCATACCTAATTTTTATTTTGAAGGAAAAATTGATTTAAAGTCAAATTCAATATTATGTTGTCATCAGGTCATCTGCTGTGACTTTTATTTTATTTGCACGTACCTGTTAACACGTATTTTGGTGCTGTTTCATTTTATAATTTTTAGTCAATATTTTTTCAAGTTCCATCAGTTCAGGCTCAGAAAACTAATGGGAGGATTTATTGGATAGTAATTATAATTTGTACTTAAATAGTCCAAGGCCTTGCTAGGTGCACGATTTATTGAAAGATTATAAAAATGGAGAATATTTTCAAAAAGTACAACACGTGTGAATACATGTCGTGACCTGTGCATACTTACACACAATAAAAACAAGAAATATAGTTATAATAAATTTTAAAAATAATTTTGATTACTAATTTTTAACAATACATCAAAAATAACTTCATTTTGTCCGAGTCGTCAGATGAAAAACAAATTAATTTGTTTTAAAACCGACGTATCCGACTAGTCGGATTATCGGATCGGATCGGAAACGAATCCAATGTAGACGTAGCCTATGATTATAAACCCCGCTGCGATCGTGCAATAATATTATCATTGATAATAAATAGTATTATTTATAATCAATGAAATTATGATAATAAAATAATAATAATAATAACACAGTTTTAATCACTTTAAGATATACCTATCTTAAACCGGGATCTTAATAAACCTAATCTGATGATGGAAAATGGTAAAAATTTTATTTGTAGATAATATGACATAGATTAAATATACAATATTATTTAATATTTAATCTATGGTAGTTACAACTGCTCATTTTTTGAATTAGAGCTGCATATTTTTTATTTAGAGTTATGCAAAATGTGTTCAAACATACGTAAAGCCTTGGGTCTAGTGGTGTATTCATGGGGGGTTTTGGGGGTCAGAACCCCCTCCCATATGAACCTAAGATAGTAAATTAACTTTTACATGAAACACGGTTTTTTCTTTAACATTTAGAATTTTAACTTGGAAATCATATTAATAGTTTTTATAAACGCTATAAACGTATTATACACACGCTGCACACACACACACACACACACACACACACACACACACACACACACACACACACACACACACACACGTCATAATATTATGATCATATTTAGATACTTTACTATTACTTTGATAATTTTTGCTTGGGAACATATTTAGGTTTTCTACAACGGTTGATTCTAAATCGGTCGTCTGGTTCCGATAACTGAGATAAAAGCGATATCATTGTATTCACAGTTTATTTTGGGTATACCTATTGCATTCACGGCTCGCCGATCATTTAACACAAGCACCTTATTGTGTAAAATTAATAGTTTTTGGTAAATAGTCGTTGGTGCCTCACTGATTTAATTACTACTCGTTTATTCGTTTATATTTGATATTTATATTCCATTATATTTGTTTTATTTTAATTTGACATAATTCTAAGACGTCTAGACATTCCATTATGGTAAAATATTTTTAAAATTTGATTTTTAGTATACCTAAGTAATTGGACAGAAAATATTCTAATATCTAATATTTATGTTCCAATATTAGTTCCTAGTTCCTAAATTGTTATTATTATTATTATTATTATTATTATAGGAAAATTCTCTAATAAATAAGCAGATTAGAAAAATTAACTATTTTTTTTTTCCTGAGTCAAAAAAACTAATGTCAACCAGACTTAAAAATACCGAGATCAATACAAATAGTAGTCAAAATGATAGTAATAAGATTAAATATATATAAATTTGCTGAACTCCCCCCCCCCATAAAAAGTTCCTAGCTATGCCACTGCTTGGGTTTGTCACTAAATGGCACAATACTACGTAATTCATCACGTAAATGTGTGTGGTGTGTCGTATATTTATTTCATTTTCAATTAAACGTTTAAATTATGACATAAAAACATTATAAGTTAAACGAATTATTTAAAAACCATGTTTATTCAATAACGTATGATGAAAAATTTAAGTTAAAAACAAATACCCCTCTCCATGTTTATTAATCGAATATAAAGATGGAAAATTTTCTAGTAAAACTGACAAAATTGTAACTAACAATTAGTCTATTTTGAAAACGTAAAGGGCAACTGCCCAACATAAACATGGGTTTCAGCTTTCTAGGTGTGTTCGTATTCGCGGACGACTGTAGTGGTAATAGCTTACGACTCAAAATGTCAGTGTTGTATTGGTAAATATATTTATGGATATACCTAAGCTCTAAAAAAATTAGGAAATTAATTTTAAAAAAAAAATGTTCTTTCTTCGCTCCCCAATTTTTTTTCTCGCTAAGCTTAAATAAATTAAATTAATCCTATATACATGTTTATAACTTCTAATGAGACTATAAAATATAAAATTACATTATATATATATATATATATATATGCAGATGCAGATTTAAGAACTATGGGCTAAATGTCTATACTCCATATTATTTTATTCAATGTTATTAACTAAATTTAACTTAAAATACTCTAAACGCAGCGTACACTGTAATCTTCAACAGAAAAATATTTCATTCAACTTCATAGTTCATAGCAATTTTTTCCACTGAACTATTACATTTTTTAATTTTTTTGGTTTTTGAGATAATTTAGAAGCGTATATCCATAAAATAATATTTTACATTAAGTATACGCCGAAAATCAAAGATTCGCTGACGGGTATAAATCCGCGTATACGTACCAATGCACCCTTGCATATTATCCTAAAAAAATGATTTAAATTTGAAAATACAAATAGCTCTCGTGAGAACTGGACAAATTTTTAGTATTGATAGGTACTGCGCTTGTTAGAATTTTTAGGAAAATGCTATTGTTTTGAAGCTCAAACGTGAATCAATGCATTAGTAAACCATGTATTCATAGATTTAACGCGTGTCACGTCAAACCTGAAGTACCATATACGGCATAGATCAGTGTTGATTTCAGACCTTCTATCCCCCGGGGGGGGGGGGGGGGTATCGTAAATTTCCGGGGGGAAATACCCCCCTACCATATCACTGAAATAAACACTAGGTATGGTATACATGTACAGTACAAACTACATGCATGGTACAGTGTCATTTTTCGTGTCGATCGTATTGTCAAACAAGAGCTTCCAGAAGAATAGCGCGCCGACCCGTTGTTTTTTCAAAAAACAGAACAACCGCCGTGGAAAGAATTTAATTTAATTTTTGGCGCGCGTGACCTTCCGATAACGTTACGATGTCGTGACGTAATATCGTAAGTGCGCGATAACAGCATTCGGCACACCGTTTCCTCGTATATTTGCCATTTGAAAACAATAATAATAATTTGCTTATACTAGAGCGATCGCATGGTATGATATTCTGCTCATGCTATCATGAATTCAAATAGACATAAAGTTAATAATAATATGGTAAAAATAGTTACGATTATCAGTAGAATATCGGTAGCACTTGTGGTCGTCTCGGAGTTATAATATTAGTAGTAGTAGTAGCAGTAGTAGTATTATTAGTAGTATTATTATTATTAGTAGTAGTAGTAGTAGTAGTAGACAGTAGTAGTAGTTGTAGTATCAGTAGTATCAGCGTAGTAATAGTAGTAGTATTTGTGGTTGTGACAGCAATTGTGCTGCGTAATCACACGGGAAAACGGTGTTGCGTGAGCGGGCGGCGGCAACAGTAGCTAACAGCTGCTAATGTCGCGGCGTCTTAGACGCAATCGCTGCTGCCGTCGTCGTAGACTTTATACGTTAGTGACGTCACTACTGCGTGAGGCCTAGGTGTGCGTATCAGCTAGACGTTACCGTAAGCACCTGGTATCTTGTACCATTTACCATCTAATGAAATAGCAGTCTCGTAATCTTTTTCCTATGCTCGTATACGTCCGCGACCATCGCTATTGCATTATGATTCGTTTGTAACGAGAATTAAAAAATTTCCCTTCGACATCAAAACTACGTGCTATCAAACTGCAGTTACCACGACGATTTGCCGCGATGTCCGCTCTGGCTGCTGGGGTGCAATATAGTTTATCGTCGAACCAGAACAATGGCCTTATGCCCAAGCAAAGGACGAGCAAAAACAAAACTCTGTTCTTCGTCAAGCTCACCGATTCCTGTCTGAAAGCTGTCGAGGACTACTTGAGATGCTGTCAACAGGTAAGTGTGCTAGCTATTCCATCTCTCAATGCTTTTCACTGTTCTTCGTGTTCATTTGTGCTTGATTTCTCTCGCATCTTCTTTTCCCTTTGGCCACGTCCACAAACCCAACGTTTTCCATATCGACCATCACGGTTTTCGTGGCCTATACTCCAGGCCTTCATGCCTTCGTCTTTAGCATCTGTGGTTTTGGCACACGTCACAATCACAGTTCAAAACAATTAATCAGTCCAAATTAATAGCACTTTCTTAAAACTGCAAACATAGGGTACTTTCCAAATGAGATAATATGTTGTTCTACTCACAAAAATATATCTTTTCTCAGTTATAACTTCAATTGTTATAGTGTGTGGGTATTATAGTGAATTATTTTATATCCAGCTATGCTCTATATCTAATTAAATATTCAAAGGATTAAAATTCACAAAATAAATTTGCATACCTAGATACCAAAAAACATATTTCAATGTTTCAAACAGCTGGTTTTTCATACTGTCTGCTCATTAGGATCTTCTTGCCCAAATTTGTTAACAATAGTTTTATCGCTCTCCCAAGTTTTATTTAATATTTCTTTATCCTAAGTTGATGTTTAATATATTTTCTGAAAACTATGTCCATCTAAATAAGGATCAGGAAAAAAATATTTTGTGTGGCCCTTTAGCTGTTTTGAAATTGAAATAGTAATGTAAAAGTAAATAAACTCATTTTGACATTATAGATGGTGTAAAATCAGTAGTATATACAATACTAAACAATTTTCAATTTTAATAAAAATGTGTTCTGTTTTGTTACTTCAAAATATTTAACTACTATATTTGATTACTTGTGCTACAAGTTTTCTGAATGATATACAAAAAATTTTTATAAATCAATTATCTTTATTTAATTTTACTTTCTGATTAATTTCATTAATTTTAATAAATATTAGGTATTTTATATTATTATAAATAGTTTTTAGAAGTCCTTGTCATATAGATCCAAAATAAGTTTCAATAATTTAAAACTAAAACCATTTTGAAGCATTTTAAATTTTTATTATTTATATGTATATGTATTTATATATACATCTATATATATTTTTAGCAAGAGAAAAATGTATCTGCTTAGTATTTTAATATATTAAAATTTTTATTCATAACAAATTTTATTTTATTTTGTAATATTCTATTCTTCATGTTGTAAATAATACAAATTAAATGATGATAAAGCATGTATACTACGGAATGATAATTTATAATTTTTTTTATTTTTATTTCTTTTTAGTTCTAATTTTATAGATTTTATTTATTATATTCATAAATTACAGTAATTAACCTATAATATCTAATGATCTTAAACTCTTGTGTATAACATTTTTTTTGCGTAATAATACTAATAATAGTTAATTATGTTGAAAAACTTATAATTAATTTAAAGTATTTTTATAAATATTAACTAAAATTAAAATATAGAGCAAGATATTTTGTTTTTAATTCAAAATACTTAAATATATATATATATATATACATAATATATTATCACCAGTGTTATTAGACAAAACATGTTATTCTAACAAGAGATTAAATGCACAAATATGTTGTTTTTTTTTTCAATTCGTATGTTGGTTGAATGATGAAATATTCTTCCATTCATCTCTATTCATTGGGACTCTCTTTAGTTCTACATATGACTCTCTTCTTATATCCAACATGATTTGTTTCATATATGACTGTTTAGGTTTTCCTCTTTCTGGTTTTCCCTCGGTTTTTCTTTCAATTATATTTGTTATCCATGTATTGTTTCTTATAAGATGTCCTATCGACTACTTTCTTCCATCCATGATTTTCATCCATATTGACCTTTTTCGTTTATTCTTTTATACACTTCTTCATTAGTCACTCGGTCTGTCCAGGGAATTTTTAAGACCCTTTGCCAGCACCATGTTTCAAAAGCCTCTATTTTTCTTCGGTCAGCAAATATGTTCATAATATTTTAATTGTTTTTATGAAAAAGTATACATTATTTTCAAAGTGTTATAATTGTGTTGTATATTTATTATCAATATTTTACTAATTTATTTGTCTAGGAAAATATGTCCTTGTATCCTATTCAATAATATTGAAATGACCCATAAAATTTTGTTAAGAATAGGATGTATTTAATGTTTTATTATATTTTTGAGCTTTTATGTTATATTTGTAATGTTTTTAACTTGAGAAAGGAGTTTAATACCCTTGAATTTTAATGTTTACATTATTGACGTTACATATTAACTATTGTGTTTTAAAAAGAAGTAATTATTGCACAAAGTAATGATGGATTTAGTGTTTTAATTTTATTTATTTATTTAATAGTACTTAACCTGTATATTTATTATTTATAATTTAATTTTATGACATCATTAGTTAAGAATTAGTATTGATGGTTACATAATTTATTTTTAAATGATATTTGGATATCTAATTTAAGATTGACAAAAAAAAAATATAGGTAGTATTAAAATTATTTATTATTATCGGAAATAATTATTAATTTGTGTGAATTCTGAGAACAATTATAAATTAAAAGCCCAAAAGCCATATAGAATATTCTTGTTTTATTAATATAGAAGGTATCACAACCAGTGAATTCATGCAGGAATTTTTGTTTTATTTAAAAATTTGATATTATAGTTCTGATAGGATGAGTTACTTTATAATATAAAATTAATTCTTTAATATTTTTATTCAAGTGGTTAATTATTTTATTTTAGCCATAAAAAAGTTATGATATATTTTTAAACATCAGTAAAAAAAACTTATCATTCTAATAAATGTGTAAAAAGGTATTATTATGTATAGATGTATAATAAAAGTATAGCCTAAATCTCATCATTGATTTTTGTTGTTTTTTATAAGTTTGTATGTTGGAATGAAATATTTCTAAAAAAAGATTTGCCTATATTAGTGTTTTAAAAAAAAAAAAAAAAAGAAATGGTTCAAATTAGAAGAATTATGGAAAGCTTAACATTTATTTTAAAATGTTTGATACAACTTGTAGATTATAAATATGTTGTTAGATATGATATATTGTTATAAATATATACTATATATAGTGCTATACACTTTGTTATATAATTTTTATTTTATTTTTTATTTTACATAATTTTATGAAAGTAATTAAATATTTAATTCATATTTTTTTCTTTTAAAACATTATTATTAAATAATGCTAAATGAATAATTTATCTAAAAATGAATTAAAAAGTGAGTATATAATGTTTTCACAAATATTATATGCATTTGATGTTCCATTTAAAAAATATATAAACTTTTTTAGTAGAATTGTATATCTATTAATTTTAAGTATTTTTTATAAAAAATATTTGGTAAATTTTATTTATTTTTAATCAAACAAAGATTATAAACAATGAATAAATAATATGTATATTATAGATATCTATTATTTATAAATCTAAATAAAATGTAATATACTACTTTTGTTTTTTACTTTATTTTTCACAATTTAAGATACTTAATAATTATGACAAAGTATAATTTCCAGGAGGATAAATAAGATGTTTAATATCACCATAATAAATCTAATCTCCAATGATCATTAACTAACTAACTTATTGTAAATATATTTATAAATAAAAAATAATTATGTGCTTATAGATCCAATAAGATAGATGGTAATTTATTGTATTAATTTTCTTGGTATTTTGAGTGCATAGTAGGATCATTTCATTTTTAAATTCTCTAAAATAAATAACTGATTTATCAGAAAAAAAAAGTTGATGTGTTATGGAATGCTTTTTTTTTTTATTATTTGTATTAAAGAATCATAGAAAATTACTGAGAAAATAAAAAAAATACAGAACTTGTACACGTTATTTATCCAATTTACATTCTAAATAAATTATATATATATATGTACAACACATTACATGTATTTTTACTGCCTGAAAGTGATTATTGAAGAATTAAATAATTTATAATATACCCTGGGAAAACTAAAACATTTAATATTCTGAAATTTTATTTCATATTTACTATTTAGTTGTACATTTTTTCTTCTATTTTTAAATGATAACATATTGAAAATGAATTGAATAAATAAATAAATGTTGTTTATATTATAAAGTCATAACTTAATTAAATAGTACAAATATGTATGTAATATAGTAATAATAAATCTTTACTAAGTCCAAGTGTTACTGCTGGATCTCTACTCTCCTCAAATGTATCCTTTTATTATTTCTGTATGCATGATTATTGTAACTGTATTATATTGTCTAATAAATGTAAAAAAAAAAATAAAAAATACTCAACCAAAATTGCAATTATTAATTGATAAAAATATAGATTATATATAAATGAAAAAAATTGAGTTATCGCTTAATATAGATTCCTTGTACATTTTAGATATTTTACTTTTTATTATTTTGCATTAAAATGTAGTTAATTTCATAAACATTATATGCAAAATATCTATCTTCTTTTGAATTTTGTTTTTGATGAAAAATCAGTACAAATGTATTACAAACGCAACTCTTTCTACGTCCTTGATATTATTTATAAACAAATTAATTCCGTTATAAACATACAATTTTTTTTATTCTATAGAATCTACCATTTTAATTTTGATTTGAAAACTCGTTTTTATCATTTAAATTAGATTTGGCAACAATGTTGTTTAATATCTTTTCTTAGGGGGGAGTTTTTATCGAATTAAATGTACGCTTTTTTCGAGAAACTCGAATTTGTTTTTGAAGTGTTGTATGTATTTTTGTATGTGTTCCTAATTCATACCTAATGAAAATATTCAATCCATAAAATAATGTAACTGGTTATCTGAATATTATATTTGTATTAAACATATAAATTAGATGCGTGTTACCTCGATTATGTTACTATTCCAATATTATGATAACTTCTTAATAAGTTCTCCTAATACTATAATAGTAACCAGTGCCGTTCCTAGGTTCTGCGAGGCCCTGGGCATCATTAGAATTCGAGGCACTACAATATTATATCGAAATCCATAGGTACACCAGAATAGCGATTCTCAATCCATATATCTATAATCTATATCTATATCTATATCTATAATTTATACATGGTATGTTTTATATATATATATTATTGTATAAACGCGAGGCCCTTGGTGGCACGAGGCCCTGGGCGAGTGCCCCGTTTGCCCTGCCCTCGGTACAGCACTAATAGTAACCATTGTTTATTATTTTAAAATATACAGTAACTAATTATATAATTTTTATAAGAATTCATCTGGATCAAGTTATCTATTAGTTCAATTTGTATTAAGAAGAACGAAAAATAATGATTGAGTGCTTAAAACTTAGTGACATTGGTGAATTTATGATAGTAATTGTTTTTCCTTTACAATGTCAGCTGGCTTATCGGCAATGTTGACGAAATTAAAATCAAGGTCAAAGTATTAACTAATTAATTTAGTTTTAGTAAACGTATAAATCCACGAAATGAAGATCGATAAAATATTATTTTAATTTTATTGAAGGTCGACAGGATACAGATTTTTGTTTTTGTGAATTATTTTAAGATTTAATCTATAAATGTTTAAAAGTTCATGTCAAACATAATTTGTAGTGAGAAGAAAAAAGTAATTTGAACATTTTTATTGTTCTATTATAAATGTAAAATACTATTTTTGACCGGAATTTATTATATACAAATTTATTCGTACATCAGAGTTAAACTATACTATTAATTAAGACTTATTTAATAGCATAGTTTAACTGTGATGCTTAAGTAATGTGAAGACAATATTAACTATTTAATTTTTTTACTTTAAAGAACTGTATTGATTTATTAGTAATTTGAGACGTTTTATACTACTATACTTCAAATTAGTTAAAGATATCAATAGTAATAGAAATTAATTTCAATAGCTGTTCGCAGGGCCTGATTTAATAAAGTTAATAAAGGATCAAGTGCACAATTTTTTTTTGGGGCCCCCAAGTCAAAAAAATCTACGTTAAGGGGGGGGGACATGTTGATAATATAAAAAATATTTATATGTTTAAAAATTTCAAATATCTATCTCAATACTTATAAAATTTCAAAATCGAATGAAATATAAACCAGTGGTTCTAAAAATGGTGATTGCGTGAATGAAACGCTCATGGCGTCACCAACGACGTAAATCTGTAAATACTGGGCTCGAATAAATCTATAAATAGTTATTAGGTATCAAATATTTCCGATGTTCAAATAATTTTTTATTATTATTATTTTAATATTTTGTGATGGTTACTGATTAGAACTGGGATGTGGAATGACAAAAATAACCAAAATTCAACTAAAAATTTAATGATAAAAATATTCTAAACTTTAAACATTGACAGTTGATATTAGACACATTTTACAAAATGAATGTTTTTGGAATTAATTTAAAAATACAATTTTCTACAACCTACAGTGACCGGGGGGGGGCCCAGAAGTTGCGGGCCAAATGCAAGTGCTCCATCTGCACTTGCGTATATCAGGGTCTGGCTGCTCGTATATGTGTGCCATATGATACATAAAATGTGTTTAATAAATGTTTCATACGTTTCAAGGTGTATAAATGCAAAATAAAATCTGGGCTAAAACTCATTTTATATTCTTCATAAAGTAATGGTTTAGTTAAAACTGGTTTTAACTAGCTATAAAACAGCATTGTATGTAACATAATTATCCTTTCGTCTTTAGCACTCGTACTTTCACCCGCTTTTTCACCTGAAGATATGTAATACGCAACAAATAAAAATGTGAACCTACTATCTTATGTGTTCAAATCAGTTTCATGTAATTTCTTTCCATAGTAAGTTTTTTTATGAACTTCGAAGTTTATCATCTTCAATCTTAAGGAACCAGATATACTATATTAAGATAATGTATCTTTTCTCGGTGTCTTCTCGTATTTTTTATTATTAAAAATTATGTTTAACATGATTACCAAAAGTAAATTTTGTTTTCAGTTGTTCATTTGTGAAAAAATTGTATTTTAATGTTTTTTTCGTAATCATCAATCAATTGTTCAATTTTAATGAAGTTATTAGTGTTTATTACATTACATATATAGTTTGAATAATAAATTAAATGGCATAACTCGAATAAATATAACTAATACAAGGCTCAAATATTTGTTGGTGTTGAGGACAAGGTCAGGACCAATTGTATGACAAAAAGTGAAAGTTTCGCCGCTACCACTGCTGCGCTGCTATACTATTTTTTATATTAAATATAATATAATGTATATAATATACTACTATTATTGCTGTTACAGACTATGAGTTTGGTATTTGGGTCATAAACGTCAATAGGCCAGCTCTCACAGCTACCTGTGCGAAGCCTAAGAATGACCTACCAATAACAATTTGACATCCATTCTTATTATCTTGTCAAAGATTTAAAAATGTTGTACCTCCTACTTCTCTTGTTCATTTAAACGTTCCTGTATCTAATATGATTATTTTAAAAATAACTTTGATCTACCTGCATCTACACTGGTTTAATATATATTTATTAAGGAATACTAAATTAATTTTTAAACATTATTTTAGGTATTTACTTATATTTTATTACAATATAATAATTATAATATTATCAAGCTAAATTGTTAAACATATTATGTATACGAACATCGAGAAAATAATTTTAAACATTCCACTGTTTGTTATGTTATAAATAAACAAAAATATAATTATAGTTTCGCGCGTCATCTACACTATATTTTAAGTAAGGTAACATGTTCATAATTCATGCTAGCACAGAACATCGTAGACTCAATAACAAAAGTATGAAGTATTATTTATATGTACGGGTATATAAAAGTCCGCGATTGTTTTCTTAAATTACATATGGTTTTAGTAATTATAAGTTGGTAATCTTATTAATACGACTAATATAATACGTAAATGGTATAATAATATACAAGTATCAGTTGCATTCGTAAGAAGTAGGGGCCAACTGGGCAAGCTGGCCATGGTCCAACCCAAAAGTCAGGTTCAATCAAAACATTTAATATTGTACCTTTTTTTTTTTTAATATATAGTTTTCGTTAGCATCAAATATTAAATCACTAAATTATAATTAATCTATTTATTTGAACATAATTGTCAGTTGATTTGTATTTATTAATGATGAAATATTCAGTTAAAGTATTCAAAAATAACCATAATAATAATGGTTTATTAAATCGGTATAGTGTTTAAGAATATAATGTATTATTTTACAAAATATTAAAATATTAAGCTCTTGGATTGTTTGTTGTTTTTAATGATAAACCGTATAATATGATTACATTTTACTTTAAATTGACAATTTGTACACTAATTAACTCGCTTTTTGGGCAATCGACTAATTGGACGACTAAATAACATTTATTTATCACTAACACATAATATTATGAATATTTATATTTGTTTTAGGGTAACTCAGAAAATCTTCCTAAGCCTAGAATACAATTTAAGGGCAATGAAGGCGTAAGTATTATTTTTTTTAAAATGAACTGTTATAGAAGTTATTTAATTTTTCTGTTTTTATTTTTTTAGCAATTATGCGTACCTAGCATATCAAAAAATTATACTTTTGACTTTAGTTTATCCAATACAACCGATGTTGCTGGTCCTCGAAGTAGTTTTGAATGTATTCGTCAAAATACTTCTAGGTACTAGGAATTTAAATTATTTATTATAGTTCTAATAAAAAGTATTAAATTAACTATATAAAAAATTTAAATATTTTGTTTTACTTTTTTATAGATCATTAGAATATGTTGGTACTTTAAATAGACGTATCCGAGTACTTGCAAATGATGATGTGTATGAAGCTACCAGACATAGGATGGTTGCTGTTGAAGAATTACATAAGAAGTCATGGTATAGTGAATTAGTGACTATTTATTTATCTTATTTATTTTTATTTTCTCAGTTTAAAGGTCCATTGAGGATCGTATTTAAAGGTATTATATATTAATATAAATTTAATTTTAAAATTAAATAAATATATTATTTATTTATGTAAATTATACAAATCTTATTTATATTTACTTCAATAATTGATATGTTAAATAAAATTAATTTTGAATTAAATTCTTTAAAATATAATAAATTTACTTTTAACAATATATCAAGTCACTAAAGCTACTGGAGTATTATAAATATAATAATATTCTTTTTTTTTTTACAGTACACGGGAAATCGAACTTGATAGTAAATCGGCTCTTGGTCGTAAGATCCGAAAAAATCCTGCTCAAATTAGAGCTAGCCGTCATAACAATAATACTTATAATAATGTTAATAATGTTAGTAATGTCAATCATGTTAATAATGTTAATAATGTTAATCATGTTAATAATGTTAATCATGTTAATAATGTTAATCATGTTAATAATATTAATATTATAAATAACGTTCCAAAACCTATAATTTCCAAACCAATACCCCCACATATTCCATCACCTGTCAATCATACATCAGATATTAGCAAAAAACCATTACGGGATAGAATTATTCATCTTTTAGCATTAAGGCCGTACAAGAAACCGGAATTAATTAGTATATTAAATAGAGGTTTGTTCTCCTTTTTTATTTTATTATGTATTTTGTTATTCAACAAATTTTACATTTTCAGATGGTTTGAAAGATAAAGATAGAACACAAATTATGTCAATACTTAGTCAAGTAGCTCAAGCTAAAGATAATGTATATTATTTATTGAGGCATATTTGGAATGATGTTCAAGAAGACTGGCCATTTTATAGCAGTCAGGATCACATAATATTAAAACGGTAAATTACATTTTATACTTGTAATTTTTGTAGATAGGAAATATACAAATCATAATAAGCTAAAAGTCTATTGATATAAGTTTCTCTTAAACAACAATGCCTTAACATTTTTTTTTATTTTTAAGAATTTAAATAAGTTAAATAAAAATTAAAAACCAAATTTTAGTTTAACTTAATTGTACTATATAACTATGAGTTAATATGTAAACATTTTAAAATACTTACCACAAAAGATAATTAAGATTTTTGTAACATTTAAATTAATTATAGACATATTATTGTAAACAAATAGCTTGTAAATATTTAGTCATTCCATGTTTTCCATTCAAAACATTTATTTTTCAGGGGCTCTTCTATTGATAATATTTAATTTACTCAACAGAGTGTATCACAAAGATATGAACATTGTTAATATAACCTAATTTTACTATGTTCTTATAATTGTAAAGCATCATATTTTAAGGTACCCACATGAGTTTTGAAAAAGTAGCTGTTAAAATAAAAATATTTTACTATGTAATATAATATGAGAAAATAAAATAACCTTATAGTTAGTTATACCATGATTATTATTATGTTAAGTTAAAATGTAAAACGTATTTAAAAAAAAAGTATTACCAAAATATTTTATCATTACGTAAACAATATTCTTTATTTCAGTGTCCAATTGTGGTGGATAATAAAACATTGTTTAATAAATAATTCATATGTATGAATGGGCGTAACATGTTTCCACCAATATCTGTTTTCACCAAATAAAATAGAATACTTGTACTTTTCATGAGCTTTTCGAATTGATGTAAAATATATATAAATATACACACAATATAATCAATGTATATTGTACATTTATTGTCTTTAATTGTATGTTAAACCGTTATCGTACTTATGCATGTACTCATAACATTAACCATGATAATATCTAAATAATCAAATACTTTATGAACAAGTAAAAAGATGGCATAGTTCAAATAGTGCATTACAACTTTGTGTGTGTTAAAATAAAACGTAAATTTTAAAATTTATAATTCTATGATGGCTAAAGTTATTGAAAGTAAAAGTGGAAATAAAACACTAGAACTAAAGAACTTTCAATTTTTTATTGGATCAGTTAACAAATATCAACTAATTATATATATATAGTTATAATTTACATAGATAACTAAGGTATTGTATACCATAATATATCATTTTTTCACCTTTTTATATCTGACCATTTTTATGAATAAAATTTAACATTTTTCAACCTATATTGTATATATTATACATTGATTTTATATTTATTGAATTAATAGTATATGTTAAATAAAGTTATTTCTGCGCTAAAGCTTTTAATTTAAGCGTAGTATACAATTTTTTTAGTAAAAACGTGGTCAATATCATTTGGTGGAAACAGATATTGGTGGAAAAGGGAATGTAAATAATACACTTTTGGTGGAAACGGGCATCACCAGTATGAATATACTTGAGTATAATACATTTTAAGTATATAGTACAATTTATTTTGTCTTAATTTAATTTTTATAAATTTTCTTAGTTTTTTTTTAACTATTTTGAATGTTTAGTAATGTAATTCATGTAATGAATTATTGCCATTTATTTTATACACTCAATCTTGAATTGCTCATGGTAATGAGGTCTGTTATTATTTGTGTTTTTTAATTTTTCTGACTTATTCATTTTTACAGAGAATTTGAAAAATAATTATTATGTGATTATAACACATTAAATAAATTATACTTTATCAGTGATGTAGTCATAAAAAGTCTTGAGTATACACTAATAATAAGTGAAAGGGATTAGAAAGGGGGTTAGCTCCCACTCCCTCCCGTAAAAAAATAAAAAGGTTTAAATGGTATTAGGTTTTATAAAATAAAACCTAATTTTCTATAAGTGTTTCATAATAATAATAATATTTATTTAACAACTGATAAAATAAAACAAGATACAGATATATACGAGGTGTCTAAATAAAGTAATGAGACTGATATTATCATAACATATCGGTTACACTAATAGCTTTCCAATTGATAAGTTTTGTAGATAAACATCTAATGTACCTTCAGTACGAGTTTCGACTTTCGGAAAATTCATGTGTTGGTCCGTAGTGATAATTTTTATAAACCGTTTCTATTTATAACGTTCTGAAAATGAGTGACAACAATTTCGAGCAAAGATGTGTTATCCGATTTTGTTTCAGGCTTGGGCACAATGCGTTGGAAATTTTTCAAAAACTCCAATAAGCATATGGAGATAGAGTACTTTCAAAGTCTTAGGTTTTTAGGTGGTTTAAGGCATTTTCAGACGGCAAAGAGTTGATTGAAGATGAACTTCGTTGTGGAAGGCCTTTAACTGTAAAAAATTATGAAAAAATCATCAAAGTTCGGGATCTTGTCCGATCCGATCTTTGGTTGCCTGTCAAAATGATCGAGGAACAGTTGTGATTAACTCATACCATCGTTTATTAGATTTTAATCGATCATTTTGAGATGAAAAAAAATCTGCGAAAAATGGTTCCAAAATTTCTGTAGCAAGATCAGAAGGACAACAGGAGAGATAGGTATCTTGATTTTTTGTAACCAGTTTTTGACATCAAAAAATATTTCCGTGGCTCCTCAGCCCTCTTATTCGCCCGGCTTGAGCCCTTGTGACTTTTCTTTTTCAAGATTAAAAGTTCACCTCAAAGGTGACATTTTGGGACTTTAGAAAACATTCGAACATCTGTAACCGATCAACTGAAAGTTATTCTAATAACTCAGTTCCAGAACTACCACGAACAGTGGAAACATCGACTCCAGCTGTGTGGATTCCCTAGGAAATTACTTCGAAGAAGATAATATAAAATAGTCATTTTAATTCAATACAAATATTATATAAAAACAGTCTCATTACTTTATTTACATACCTTGTAGTACAGGAGTTACAATAATTTTATAATCTTAAAAATATACTCAATTGATTTTTGATGTCTCTCAGTAGTAATTGATGTTATGGCAGATTTATAATTAGTATCTATATGATTCCGTTCTCTTGTAGTAATGTTTTGTTCGTGAGCGATAAGATAGGCTTACAAAATAAAGAATTTAATTTAATAACAATAAAATACAAATTTAGACTATTGCAGTAGTGTAACAGCTTTTTCAACAATTTTTCCATGCAGTGGCGTACATTTAATCTTGCTCTGGGGGAGGGGGGTTAAAAAAAATAATCGTTATCTTTTTTTTCGTTGCTTTAAATAACTGCTATAAATAGATATTATTTTATACAACTTTTTTACCAATTTACAGTTTACTTTTACATTACAGTAAATTAATAGCTATTGGAAAATAAAAACAACATAGTTACCAAAACTTTTCAAACAACTGTCAATACAATTATTTGATTATCATAATATTTGTATAGTTGTATATTTTAAGTTCAAAGCGTAATAATGAAACTACGAATATATTACACGTCATCAATAATAAAACATTTTTTTTTTTTTTTTTTGGTCTTGAGGGGGTTTGAACCTAGACCCCCCCCCCGTATGTATGCCACTGCTTCCATGCATTAAAATTAAAAATAGATTTGTAAAATGTAAACATAATATTAGACATGATAGCAAAGAAATTTCTTTGGAATTTTAGGAAACAGGGCAAAATCATTTATACTGTTTATAGTTAGTATCAATGTACCCGTATACCTGTGTATCACAAATTGTACTATAAGTATACGCATCAATCAAAAAATGGAGAAGTCGTTATACGCCGTATACACGCGTATACGCTCCATTACACCACTTTTTTCATTACCAGACATAGCTTAATATGACCGAGTTGAAATAATCAATTTGTTAGGTAATAACCTAATTTCAGGCTTGAGCTTTGACTGGTAACTTTAAAAAACAATCAATATTTGTCAGTTTAAATAAACTTTATTTATATATTTTTAGACGGAAGCCTCAAAATTTAACACCTCCTGGATTAAGTGATACTGGAAGTTCTGGTAGTAGTGAACAGTCACCAAGTAGCACTGTTCCCAGCAGTCCTCCTAATAATGTACATGGTAACAAAAGACCGGGTTACTACAACGGTGCTGATGGTTTTCAAACCAAAAGAATGCGTATATCTCATTTTAAACATCCTGCACCTGAGAAAAAATTATCATCAAATAGTCCTCCACCAATTGTTTCTAGTACTCAGTCGATAATACGATCACCTAATCATGCACCTTCTCAAACCAACCCAATACCAAAATATATTCAGTAAGTAAAAATTTAACATTTTTATAAATAATCATTTTTAGTAAAAATATATGGGTAAGTTTTAGAAGTCGAAGTCGCATAGCTCGGGGTAGAGATTAATGTATAAATAAAAAACTCTCAAAATGTATTTTTTATTTTGCAAAATATACTATCATTTTAAGACAAGTATAATGTTATATCTTGTCATCATTAAACAATTTGCACAGTTTTAATAAACTAAATAATAACACATTTTATATTTTAACTTAGTTTAAACAAAATATATAAAAATTAATATTTTATTGACCTAAAGGTATTTTGAGACTTGATTTTATGTCTTTTATTTAAAAAAAAAAAATTATAAATCTATAGAACCTCAGAATATGCACAAAAATTCACTCTGATTTCACAGTCGAACCCGACTTTAAATATATTAAAACAAAAAAATAGACATATAAATTCACTAAAAATACTGAAAAATAACATTTCAACCAAAAATTACCTGTAAAATTCAAAATATAATGTATACTATTAAATTTTGCATGACATGATGAATTCAATTTTTATAAAGACGAAACTTGAATGTTTTTTATAAAAAAAAGATGCAAATGCATAAAGTCTAGACCCTAATTATTAGTTAAAATACATATTTAAAATCTTATTTAGGATTTTTTATTATAATTATATATGTTTTAAGGTTATTAACCTATTATTAAATAAATGAGAACTAAGTAAACAGGAAAAAACAAATTATATATGAATCTACAAAGATAGATTCAGAGAAACTTTTCTTAGAGTTATTACTTGGATTTATATATAATGGTATGTTTTTTTTTTTTTTTTTGTAACTTATGTTTATTGTTTTTGTCAATAATGTCCACATCATTTTGAGATTTATTTATTTTATTTTTGATATTTTTGCATATCGTGAATAAAATGAAATTATTATATGTTTTTACTACAAAAACGTGAAAAATGCAAGTTTAAAGGTATATTTCGTACATAAATTATATATAAAATTTGATCACATAGCAGTCTGTATTAGTACTGTACAAAAATATCTAAATTTAATTTTTATCTTATTGTTTCAAACTTGTATGGCTGATTGCCTATTATTATGATTAATTACATGACTGAATAAAAGTTAGGATTAATTTTGACTTTGTCGTGTATCGTGTGTTCCTGCATATATTGTCATGTAATTTGTGAATTATATTAAATTCTTTCATAAAAATATTAAATGCCAAAAATTCAAATCGCCAGTACAAAACTTATCAAATAGTTTTTTGTTTAGTTTTTAAAACTTAGAAATTTAGAAATTCTTGGAAACGGTTAAATGTGACCATAGGCTTTTACCAGTGACGTACCCAGAATGACTTTATGGGGGTGGTTACAGGAATAAAAATATATCTACAACATAATATTATTATCTATATGTACATTTTAAAATTTATTTCATAACATTTATTGATTAAATATTATATTGTTATTCTTATTAAAATTAAAAAATAATATACCTCCTCATATTTACAATATTACAGTTAATAATAATAATTATTATTATTATTATAGAAAAAACAACCATTATTTAATACCTATTAAAATAAATTTTAATTTTTAGTTATAATATTAAATTAATTTTTCTTTTTTTTTTTTTTGCTAATTCGTTTAAAATAATATCGTATTATAGAGAACGTTATTATCTGTATATAATATTACATTTTCATATTTGGATACTTGGTTAATATTAAACGCCACTGATCTATTGATATTGATATTAACAGAGCGCAAGCAATTATTAAAAATAACATTTAAAATAAGCCCAAGAGGATGGTTTGAACCCCCAATACTACCTCTGTGGATTTGCCACTAAACAAATATATAAATGTTGAAAACTGGGTTACCAAAAGGGAAAGAAAATATCTTCAAATGTTGAAAAAATATTATTACCTTATATATTACTGCATTATACTTATACCAATATAATTACAGATGTTCTTATTTCCTACTATAATTCTAAATATTGTTTTTTTGGAAGCATAACTTTATATTATTATTATTTGATAGTACAATTAAAGTCAAATTTTGCAGATTATGACAATTTGTTTTACCTCTTGAAGTTCAACTAAATTTGAATTTTTATTTACAGGGATTTTGTACGAATAACAAATAAAGAGCAAAAGAAGCAATATAAATCAGAATTTATGAAATGTCATAAAGAATATAAACACTTGGCTGAAATTATGGATCCTGTTAGAAATAAATTTGCAACATTAAAAGATCGCATGTTACTTTATCCTAAGGGCTCAAATGAGTATAAGGTATATATTATTTATTTTATTAAATATTTTTTGTTAATACTATTTATAACTTATATAATTGTAGATTTTAGAAAAACAAATTTTACAAGAATATAATGAAAGAAAACATGATGACAAATACCAAGCAGCCAAAACGCGATTTGATTATCTTCATAATAAATTGTCTCATATTAAAGATCTGGTGCATGACTATGATAAACACAATCCAGTGTTAATTAGAACTGCAAAACCAGATTCTTCTTGCCTATGAGCAATCAATTATAATTTTTTTTCTATTTCTTTTAAAATACAATGTATAATTATTCTAAATGATAATTTTTATAAAACCCAAAATAGTTCCATAGCACAAATGAGATAAAAATATCAGTGACTAATCACTTAATGGTTCGCTCAATGTTTAATAGTCAGTGCATTTATAATTTTTTACTGTCCTTACATTGGTTACCGGCTCTAAGTAATAAGAGCTTATTGATAACTTTAAATGATTTGTTGTTTTTTTTGGGATTTGGTATTCAAATTTAAGATCTATTGCAATACCCTGAAGATATGATTGTGTTAAAACTTAGCCAGAAATATTTATTTTATTTTATTTTTGTTTGTATTAAAGTTTAACACTAAAGATCAAAATTGTTTATCACACAAGTGCTTGTTTTCTTATTTTGGATGAGCTTTGATTCCAACAAGTATGATAACTAAAAAAAATTGGTTTTCTTTTTTGACCATTTGAAATCATTATCAATGTTATTCTTTTAACTTAAAACATGAGACATATGTCTACTTATGTATTTATATATCATGCAATTAGTTTCAATTATATTGGTGTAATGCATAATATTACGCATAAATTAATTTTTTATCTGTATTATTGTTTGAACATATTGGTAATTCATTCAATACATAAATTAATATGTGTATGACATAGCAAGTTTAAATGGAATTTTTTTTTATGGTAAATTTAATGTTATCAAAATTTGTTCAAGCATAAGGCTTTTATGACCATTAAAATACAACCAATGAGGTATAAAATGTACTGTTTTTAGTATGTTTTGTAGTGGTTTTCAAATTCATTTATTTTGTTTAGATTTATTTTATTATCTAAATATTTAATGGCTATTATAATTACATATATTAGTAATTTAAAAATTTTACTTAAAAGTTTATAGTTATATAAATCATTTTAAGTCATCACAATAAACTTAATTATATCCTGAATGAAATAAAAAATTAAAGCTATTATTTTATAATTGAAGAGAAAAACTATTTACAATCATATGAAACGTATTAATTAAATTTTTTTTATTCAAGATAATAAATATTTTAAAGTAAATGTCTTGTATTAAATTAAATTACATTTAAACTTGCTATGCGTATAATTATGATTTATAATAACATTTGGGAAGCTCATTCATCCAATTAAATGCACAGTAATAAAATATCAATAAAGACTTGTATTTGTTAGGGTTTTACATTATTATTATTTTTAATACTGTGATATCTAGAATGTTTTGCCCTGAATAAAATTATTTTAAGACTGAAATTTGGACCATATAACCGTATTTTTTTTATCAAAAATAAACATTATTCAGTAGAAAACATAAATAAATTTGCTTGGTGACAAAAAGTAATATTCATGTGTACATAGTTATTTTTGAATTATAAATAATATACATACAATTCTACACTATTTTGAAACAGTTTTTTTTTAGACATATCCAAGACATTTGCATAAATACTGTTTATATTAGAGTTTTAGCTATCAATACGCTATTAAACATGGAAAAAAAAATCTGGCAATAAGTTTACTCAGGACTTATATTTGCCTGAAATTGATATTAATATTTATATTAAAATAATTAAAACAAAATTACAATTGATATAAAGACCATCTTCTTGCTTTTATTTAATGAATAATTTAATGAACTATTATCTTTAACTATAGGATTATGCTTATAAATTATGAAGCATGATGAAAAATGGATCGGGTAAAAGTATACACTTCAAATTTGGTATATCTTTTAAATGTTTTATTTTTAAGTTTATTTTCAAACACTATTTGTGTCCTATAATGTATATATTATTCGAAAAAATTGAATAATTATTGAGTAATAATTGAAAAACAATAAGAATTACTTTTACATATTATCTATTTTTAGTAATTTGTTTAACATATGTTACAAAAAAATTATAAATTTTGAATAATATATTGTTTTTTACTTATTATCTTTAATTGATTAAATGTATGCTTTTGAATAGATAGGTAGTTGTCAATTTAACTATTAAGTAATGTCCTAGGATACAATTTTAAACATTTGGATTAGTCTGTTATTGAGCATTAAATAGTTTATAATATAAATATATAAGTAGTAAAATCTCTACAGGTAACTGTTACATGAAAATTAAGAATGTTTAATACTGAGAATTTTTTATTTAAAACATATAAAATATTAGTTTTCTCAGTAAATTTAGTAGGTTAGTAAGTAAGTAAATTCAGGATAGAATATGACCATATTTTAAAGTGCCTATTAATGTATAAAACAAAATAATTTTGTGATTAATATTCTTAGAAATAATAACGAAATTGTATTATTTAAATATTTCTAATATCAATATTAAAAAATACAGGCAATATTTGGATTTTGAGTGAAACAAGAAACATTGATTTTACCATGTATATTTTTGTGTCTATATATAATTTCGACCAGAAAAATATGTCAGGTCATTACAACCATAAGAGATTTCTAATAAAAAGTTATGCCTATTTGATATTTATGGGGGGTTATTTTACGAATTTCAAGTAGTTGTCTTATTGATTGTGAAAATCCAATAAACAGTTAAAAATACAGCAAAACTTACAATAAACTGGTTTTTGACAAAAAAATTTTTTATCTTCATCAATTCAATAATCAATAACCACAGGGATATCAAATTTTCATTAAATGCTCATATCACAGTTTACTACATATGGTTACTAAAACAAAAAAAAAATGTTAATCTATTTATAAAAATATGAAATTTTTTAAATTTAACTTTCTTCAAAAATCTCTATAAACTAATTATTATTTAGAATTTTCGATTTTTCCAAATTGTATGTTTTTTTTCTTACAAAAGTAAGAACATTAAAAGTTTTATTAACCTTTTTAATAAATTTGGTTATTTTATTACGCCAATCATTTTTAGAAATTCAATCCGATTCCTCCAAATAATTTTCTTTTCCAATTCAGCTATTCATCTTTATATCACGTTTATGAAGTTAACCCAACCAAGTTAATAGATAAACTCACGACTTATGCCAATATTTTGCAAATTTATAGAATTTGTAAATCACCCCCACTTGACAATAAACATTTTTCGTTTGTGGAGGGGACTACCTTCATTTAGTCCCCCCAAGTTGACCGATTTAATCGGAATCAATCAACGTCAATATTTTTCTAATTGATTTTTACGATATGCAAATTAAATCTTTATTTTGGCAATTTTTTTGCGAATTTTTGCCAGTCTTACCAAAATGACCATACTTATAATCTCGGATAATGTTAAACAATTAATTTAAATATACAATATAAATACATATATATAAATAAATTATGAGGAAAATATGTTAATTATATAAATTTATAATTTCTGCATATTATTTTAAAGTCAGTTGGTGAAAGACCTAAAATAACTTGCATATTATACACATACAATATACATTTTACAGCATATTTATATATAATATAGCATATTTACATAAATAAATAATAATATAAAACAACATATTATTATTATATAGATAGGTATCATAGATATATAAATTATTGTGAAAGTAATTTCAGTAAGAGAAAACCTACGAGTATGAGTCCAACCGAATATCTTGTATTTTTTCGACAAAGATACAATGTGCATGATGTACATATTTAGTTGGCTCTCAACAACAAAAAACCATTTGTACATTAATTTCATATACTTGAACTAATTCTCCTCAACTACCCAGCCATTTAAATTTATTTTTTAAAATTCAAATAAATTAACGACACAAACACAATATATTCAAAGATGATTATAAAATATACCTTATTTCCAATAACCACTTATTTAATATAATAGTGCCAAGCAAAAAATACAAAAAAAAAAGTAAATGATATATAAATATAAAAGGAAAAAATATAAATATATTATGAATCACTCAGTTACCATGGGTCAAAATATCCTCGAGGGCTATTTGGTCATTTTGATCTACTCAGCAAATTAATAATTAATTTACAAAACAGATCAATATTTTTCCAAAACAGATCTAATTATGTGTCCTAGTCAAAATGTTTTAGAACCAATTTATCCTGTCACTGATAGGGCTTGAGAAAATCCGAAAGAAATTCTTTGAAATAAGAGATTTAATTCGTAAAAAACAATTTGCAATTAATTTACAAAATATTAGTATAGGTTTAGAGTTTATCTGTCAATTGGTGGGGTTAATTTCATTAATGTCTTTGTTTTACCTCTGACTGTAAAGTTTTGCCTTTTTTTTTTTTAATATTTTAACTGCATTTATTTATGAATATATTTATACATATGATTGTAATTAAACGTAATATTAGATTACTACACTTAAATAATTGTTAATTTCATAAATAAGGTTATAATTTCAAAAACTATACCACTGGTTTCCAAACAGTGAGCACTTATTGGGGGAGGTGTAAGGCAAATGTTTATACTGTATAATACATCAGCCTACATTATTTTTAAATTAACAGTAATTTACTTTTATTAAAATAATAAAAAATTGTTGTTTAATTATTCATGGGAGGCAAGATTAAATTTTTTAGTTTTGGGGATGCGTAAATCAAAAAAGTTAGGGAACCGCTGAACTATACAATTAAATTAATGCTTATTTACATTCTATATGATTATTCCTATAGACCAGTGGTTTTCAAACTGGGTGACGCGGCACACTGGTTACACATTACTGATTGCATTGAATTGCGATATAAGAAAATATATGCTTTCAATCGATATGGATTTTATATATATGTATATATTAATAAATCGACAGTTTGTAGGAATAAAACGAATAAGTAATTTCAGATAACTATTGAACTATAAAATGTATAAGTAATATAAATCCCCAGGCAGTATATCCGTCGCAACCGACCTGGACGTTTCGTCGTATTCGTAAAGTAGTTTGTCTCCTAATTGTATTGTATTAGCATACGAGTATTTTAAAAAAATATTTTGGTATATATTTACATATATTTATAATTATTATAATCATCAATTTGTTACTCGTTCTGTTGACAATAATGCGTCAGTAAGTCAACCACCAAAAAAAAAAAAAAAAATAATAAAATATAGTAATATTCGTCAGTATCACGAAGATTACTTAAAAATGGGATTTTCTTGTACTAGTGATTCAGATAATCCTCGTCCGTGGTGCGTTGTATGTGGTGAAAAATTGTCAAATGAAGCAATGGCGCCCAGTATACTTAAACGTCATTTGTATTCTAAGCATTCACATTTAATCGACAACATATTTTCAACGTTTATTAAATTCACAAAATAAGCAAAGTAAAAGTACGACAAAAATTGTAAAGATTTCTGATAAATCTTAAGAAGCAATGTAGAAGCTATGTAGTAGCAGAGCTTATAGCTAAAACAATGAAACGACTTACAATAGGTGAATAGTTAATTTTACCCGCTTGCCGTGAAATTGTAAAAATATTTTTTGGAATAGAAGCTGAACAAGAAATATTGAAAATTCCTTTATCTGATAATACAATTAGTAGGCGCATAAACGACATGTCCGAAGATATTGAGCAGCAAGTATTAAATACGTTACGCAATTCTCTTATGTTTGCGCTGCAAGTTGACGAATCTACAGATATAAGTGGAAAAGCACAGCTTTTAGTTTTTGTACGCATGGTAGTTGATGACGATATTATTGAAAACTTTTTTTGTTGTAAAACATTGCCCAAAACAACGAGAGGTGAAGATGTTTTTAAAGTTTTAGACGATCATTTATCATCAGTAAATTTATCATGGAACAAATGTATTGGAATATGCACTGATGGTACACCTTCAATGACTGGCTCAATTAAAGGTTTCATTTCTTTAGTCAAGAAAAAAAATTAAAAAATTATTTTTACCCATTGCTTCCTTCATAGAGAGGCCCTAGTTGCAAAATCTTTAGTAAGTGATTTACAAAATATAATTGATCAAGTTGTAAAAGTTATAAATTTTATTAAGAGCCGACCTCTAAAATCAAGACTATTCGAACAAATTTGTGACGAGATGGATGCAGACTATTCAAGATTGATTTTATACAGTGCAGTAAGATGGCTTTCAAGAGGGAATATTTTATCACGATTTTACAATTTGAGAGAGGAGTTACTTGTATTTTTAATTATGGAAGAATCTGAATTCAACTTTCTTGGAGACGAAGAGTGGTGGACAAAGTTGTCTTTCTTAACTGATTTGTTTGAGCATCTCAATAAACTAAATTCAAGTATGCAAAGTCGTGATGAAAATATACTAAAATCGTCGGACAAAATTATGGCTTTCATCGAAAAATTGAATTTATGGAAATCTAAAATTAATCAAGGTAATTTAATTATGTTTCCACGTACTACTTTACTAGTTGCGAATGACAACATTTTGTCATTAATAGTCGAGCCTATCACATTGTTAGAAATAAAAATTAATAAATATTTTCCAAGTATTAATATTAAAAATTACAACTGGGTACGGGACCCTTTTAATGTGTCTATTAGTGACTTGGTTGATTTAAAACTTGTTGAAGAAGAAAATCTCTGTTCAATTAAAAATGTTAGAACATTGCAGTTGAAATTCAAAAAGATCACTCTCAATAAATTCTGGGTATATGTTTCTAAAGAATATCCAGAAATATATCTATAAAAGCACTGACTATTCTTGTGCCGTTCTCAACCTCATATCTTTGTGAACAAGGGTTTTCAGCGCTTACGAATATAAAAAATAAAAAACGAGAAAAACTAAATTCAATGGAGGAAGAAATGCGGGTATGTCTATCAACTATTCGTCCAAGAATTAAAAATATTTGTAACGCCCATCAGGCACACATTTCTCATTAAATGTACCTATGTATAATTGTAAATAAATTTAATTACTAATACAATGTAATTATAATTAATAAATATTTATTAGCCCATTAATCACACATTTCTAATTAAATGTATTTACAATTATAATTAATTCAAAACAATTTTGTTCATCTAAAAAAAAAAAAAAAATAATGGTCAGTGTGCCATGAAAATTTTTTAAAGTGTACGGTGTGCCGTGTATAGTAAAAGTTTGAAAACCACTGCTATAGACATTTTACGGCCGTACTACTAGCGCTACTAGTAGTCAATGTACACATTAATGTTATGATATTATTTTACGCGCGGTAAATGAAGCTAAACTATAAATTTATTAAACTATAATAATAGCATATTATAATATTAAACTAATATTTAATATCTTTTAAATTAATTATTTATATTATTATAATCAATACTTCAACGTTGGCGAACCAGCATATGATCAGCCGATGGAGACATGGAGTGTAATTTCTCTACAAAATGTCTCTACATAATATCTTAAATCATGAATATTATGTCCATGATTCTAATTTTTTATATTATTGTTAGTTGGCATTAATTTATTGACCACCATCTAATCAATATTAAACAAAACAAAAATTACTCTAGTTTAATATTAATTGTGTGTAGTGTGTGTTAAGATGGGCGACATTTTAATTACATATGGATTTCAAACCATTTATCTAAAATTTGATTTACCAAATAATAAGAGACAGCATTTATTTGAAAGTGGACACGTAAAAAATGTTCAAGAATTAAAATTAGCAAATGGTTTTTCAATTATCAGTGGACATGTTATAAGGCAGACTTCAGTAACATTAACCCCCTGAAAAGTGACCCTTGAAGTGAGTACAAAGTAGAATAGATAGTACAGTAGCTATTTTTAGAATGGTTAATGAATGTCTACTGACGATTTCATATTCTATACAATTTTAAATTGATAATTTAAGAACAGTTAATCATACAGATTGTGGATGCCCTGCAGGAGCAGGAGGTATATGTAAACATATATGTGCTGTATACCATTATATTAATAATGAAGAAAATTCATCAAAGACGGACTTACCACAACAATGGGGCAGACCATCCAAAATTGGAGAAGAAAAATATAAAAAAGGCAAACGACTTAATCAGCTTTTTCCAAACAAACATAAATGTTTATTGATTTATGATGAAGTCCCAACTGAACATCAAATGTTAATTGATAATTATAATATTTTGAATATTCCCCGTAGTCTTAGTAGAATGATAAAATCAGAAAGTATTACTGAGGTTGAAAGAGAATGTAAGTTATGTATTGATAGTATTATAGATAAATTAGAATGTGAAATAATAATTAAGAGAAACAGAGTATTCTTATCATCCATATTTTACAAACAAAATCAACATCTTAAAACTCAAAATTATGTTATATTTCCTCTCAATTTTAAAGAACATAATCTTTTCTATGAAAAAATTTGTATAAGTAAACCTATTATGTTCAATATTTTTAATCAAGCAATTAGTGCACATGGACATTAAATTTACTCAAAACGATTTATTGCTCGAATCCATTAATTTTTCAATTCTCTTTCGTACGGTCTATTAGGAAATCTAAACAACTTTACATTAGAAGTATTCTTGTATGTGTTAGAACAATTAACAACACAACATATACGATTACTCATATTTATTACGGTTTTGAAGAATTTAGCATAACAACAAGTCGAATTAGGTAAATACTAAATAATAAATTTGTTCAATACACATTACACCAGTGTTTCTCAACCTTTGTATAATGGCGACACACTATTAAAATATTTCATACTTTGCGACAAATAGTAAAAAAAAATAAGAATAATAGATAGTATTAAATATTTATAATTAGTTAATAATACATAATCTTATAATATATAATCAATTATAATATATAAAACAACAAAGAAAAATATAACATAGGTAAAACAGCATTTTAATGAGAAATTTGTGACTGATATTTCTTACATAATGTATCAATTCGCAGTGAAATCTTCGATAAGGCGATCCTTAACTCCTCTTTGACATTAATTAATCTTTCTCTTTTTTTTTTTTAATTTCATTCAAAGCAGAAAAAGCTACCTCGCACAAATATGATGTCGAAAATGGTAATAATACGGAATGAGCCAATTTTGTTAAGTTCGGATATTCTTTTTTTGTGTAAATCCAAAATTGGCTTAGCTCGAGCTCATTAAATTTCATTTGAAGAGTCCGATCGTTTTTTAATTCTGCAAGTTCTTCTTCCTATTTTAATGAAAGATATGTGGTTTCTAAACTAGGATTAAATGGATTCCTCACCCAATCAAATAATTTCAAATCCAGCGATGAAAAATAATGATCAAGTTTTTGGTCCAATAATGTTATTGAATCATTGATAATTGGTATTATTTTATCAGTAAATTTAGTATTAGCAGTTAAAGGAACATATCCAAATTATTATCATTTACCCTTCTTTTCTAAATCAATAATTTGCCTTTAAATGCAGCCATTTTGTCTGTAGATATTAATAAATTTTGATTTTCACCTTGCATGCTTAAATTGAATTGATTCAGGTGTTCAAAAATATCAGCTAAATATGCTAATTTTGAACACCAAAATTCATCGGATAAATAATCGGAATATTCCATTTGTTCCATTGTAAAATATACTAAAAGTTCTTCTCTAAGTTCATAAAAACGTGATAAAACTTGCCCTTTTGATAACCAACGTACTTTTGTATGAATAACAATGTATAGTGGTCAGATTCCATTGATTCACATAACTAGGAAAATAATCGAATTTTTTGAGGTCTACTTTTAATAAAATTCGCCATTTTTACGACTTGATCAAGTACAATCTTTAGTTCATTAACAATGCTTTTTGCTACTAATGCCTCCCTGTGTAAAAAACAGTGTGTTGTGTTTATATTTGGATTTTGATTTTTGGCAATTGTAATAAGTCCTTTAATAGAGCCTGTCATTGATGGCGCCCCATCTGTACAAATACTTACACAAAATGTCCACGATATACCATAATTTTTAAAATATTTATTATGACATCAAAAACATCTCGACCAGTTGTTGTCCCAGATAATTCTTTACAACAAAAAAACTGACTAACTATTTTTGAATTTACAATAAATCTAATAAATGCCATTAATTGAGCTTTCCAACTTATGTCTGTTGATTCATCAACTTGCAAGGAAAATAATTCTCCACTTTTTATAACTTCAATAACCTGCTCCTCAATATCCTCTAATATATTTATAATCCTATGACTAATTGTACTATCAGATAATGGTATTTTAATTATTTCTTTTTCTGCTTCGACTCCTAACAAAGTCTTTACCATAATACGACAAGCTGGCATAATAAGATTCTCGGCAATTAAATGAGATTTTTTTTTTAAGCTATCGATTGGGCGATACGAAAACTAGCTTCCTGTGCCTTATCCGAAATTTTCACTGATCTTACAAATTGTTTTGATTGTAGTTTTTTTGAATCTAATAGTCTTCGAAAATAATCAATTTGTTTATTTTGTAACGATTGATGTTTTGTGGTGAAATGGCGGGTTAGCTTATTGGGAACCATTGATTCATTCGACAATTTTTTGTCAAAAATAAAACAATAAGGAATAGGACAATGTTCGTCGCTGACCCAAAAAAATCCTAATTTTAAATAATTTTCATTGTATTGACGATATTTACCTTTGAATTTTTTAGAAGGATTTTCTTGTTTTTCTTTAAAACTTGACGATGCATTTACAGAAGATGATGAGTTTTTCTGTTTCCAAATTGTCTTCATCTGTATTCTCTCTTACTACTTGTATTTTTTTAATCAAAAATTTATCCATTTTATTTTAATTAGTAACAAAAAAATATTGTTGTTAATAAATTAAGAAAAAGTCTGTTCGACTATAGAAGTAAATGACAACTGAGCATACAAATAAGGTGAGTTATTGATACGGTGTATGTTTTCAGTATAAATATACTATACGTATTCACTGTTTAAAAATAAACGAAAATATCAAAAACCAACATTTATAAATTAAGATGACACACATTAGGCGATCGAACGCGATTAATCGTTCAAAATGACGATAATAATACAATTTATTTTATGTCGATAGCTGAAAATCTATTTTTATTATCATGGAAATTATATCAAATACCTATTAATTTTTGTAAATAATTAATAGTGTTAATAATGTTTTTGTCATTTAATATTAGTACTTCACACGACACATTAGGACTTGCTCGGCGACACACCAGTGTGTCGCGACACACCGGTTGAGAAACACTGCATTACACTATTTTTTTTTTTATATTAATATACGAGTCATAACATTAGTACCGCGTATGACAACCCGAGCGCATTGTTTTCGGGCGGCAGAACACTGTCTATATTCTATTGTGATTACAATGCTTCAATAATATTCTGTTAATATTAAACTAAAATAAAGATGATTAATACAAATACATAAAAATTATAAATTTAAGTTTGATTTAAATTACAATTTAATATTATATAGTAGGTTAGATATAACATTTATATACATAAGATCAAAAAATAAAAAAAATTTTGAATGCTAAATAACAAGTATGCTTTTCTTTCAATATTAAAATATTATAACATATTATTTATAACATAAATCATTAAACCAATTATTTAAATTTATTTACTCAAATAATAAGCTAAATTTCTTGGTGTTCTATATTTTAAGGCTAATTCTAATGCGGCTCTTCCTTCTTTAGTTCTTAAGTCCTTAATTTTCTCAAACACTGTATATGAAATTACGTTTGCCATTAGATTGATTTTCAACATTCTTTTGTTCAATTTATTTTTTTTCCTATGAAAATAAAAATATTTTTACTTTTTAGGAGTCTATCATTCTGCATTAAAAAAAAAAAAAAAAAAGGAATGGACCACAATAGGGTCACTCAATACAGTTAAATATGTATTATTATATTCATTTACATAATAGAATTGTATAAATAAATATACATATATAATTTGCATAAATTGTTTTTTATAATTTTTTAAAGAAATTAAAATTATGAAATTTATATTAAATTACAATTATTTAAAACTTTAATGAATAACAAAAAAAAAACTAATATTTTAATGTAGATAATTACAAAATGTAATAATAGTTTACTTATTTTTTTGTTTCCATTTCATCAAACATGATAGTATTGGGAATCTTCATTTCTTTTAAAACATTAGCATATACTAAGAATGAATTTATATATGAATGAAAGCTATCATAAGGATCTTTTGAAATAGTTTTGATTTCATTATTTGTCCCAATAAAGCTTCGAATATTATCTTTAAGAATTCTAAAATATAAAACTATTAAAAATTAGTAATTCAGTTCGTGTAAAGATACCGTACAGTTCACACGTATAATAATCTTAAATCGCTATGTTTATTAGCTCTTGATAGCGAAGTCATTAGTGCCCGATGTGGTGCACATTGCACATCGTGGGTCTTCTAAAAAGCCCTCACACTAAGAACATTATTTTATAACATTTAAAAAAAGGCCTAGGAGGGAATCTGATCACCCCCTACATCTCCTTGTCTACGCCACTCGATTGTATAAACAATGCAATAGTTAAAAACCATTATCCTCCTCACATATATCTTTAATGCCATTTTCCATTTATCATATTTCCCAACTACTTGGAAATCAACTCTTATAATAACCATACCAAAATCTGGTAAACCACTTGATATTACCGAGTGTTATAAGCCAATTAGTCTACTTCCCATACTCGAAGAATATTTGAAAAAATCCTTAACAAGAGACTCACTGTCATAGCACAAAAGCAAAATGCCAGTCTTGAATTTCAATTTGGCTTCCATGTCAAACACGCAATGTTCCATCAACTATACAGAGTAATAAACTTCATCGTCTCATCACTCGAAACAAAAAAAATAATATTCTGGTCTCTTCTTAAATGTAGTGCAGGAATTCTATAGCATATAATGCTTTGCTCCATATTACTTAATTCTCAAATCTTACCTAAATGACAGAAGTTTCAAAGTGAAACTATGAACAACACTCTCCAATTCACAATTAATATTAGTTAATGTTTCACAAGGAAGTGACATTGCTCCTTTTATATATAAACTATTCACAGCAGACATCCCTATTTCTGACCCCACTCTTATTAGGACCTATACTGATGACACCGCAGTACTATCTTCTAGTTATCACCTCCATGAAGTAAACTTTCAACCCCACTGGTTCAACTCATGGAAAATTAAAGTCAAGGAGTTCAACCATCTTTCAGGAAACCCAATGAGATACCTCAATCGAAATTGGCCTAAAGACTTACTCAATCTTTGAAACTTACATTATAAGTAAATTACTCAAGTTCAGGCATTTCTAATGTGAAGTATCTTCAAGTTTCTCACCATTCTTTTTCATTATACATCTAAACATTTTACTTATTGAGCATCATAGTATGTATTGTAAATAATTTATCATAATAAACGATTATAAAAACAAATATAATAAAAATAAAATGCATTACTTTAAGAACTGATGATCTTTATCATTTGCTATTAAATTCGTTTTTAGACGAGTTGCATATATATTCATGGAATAAATACCCATAGTACAAGCATATTCTAATAAGTAGAGTTCCAGCATAACAAAATATTGAAGATCATTAGCTGTATGATATTCTGTTAGAGTATCTGTTGATGCATGTATTGATTGAGAGTTACACTCTGTAAAATAAAAACCTCATCATATACAAAAGTGTCTTAGATTTTATAATTAATTTTGCTTTATAGGCATTAAATTGTCAAAAATATGATCAAAATGTAAAACATATTTTAAATTTGTATAGTAAGACATATAATTTGAAAAACTGAAGATACATCAGTCTTTTCAATAAATCAAAATGCTTAGCAATAGGGGGCACTCTACAATTGTTATATTTTTTTTGGCTAAAACCTCTATAACTAAAATATCTATATTGTGTATAAGCTCTAATCAATATATTGTAGAGATCATATAACAATTATGTATAAATAGTATATGTAAATTACATACTTGTAATCAAACTAAAAACGATAGCGATAAAACATAACTGTTTTTTATTTTAAATCGCTTAAATTTAATCTAATTTTTTAGCATTAATCATATTATTTTACCAAAATAAACCTCTGCAATAAGCAAATAATTATTAAAATCGAGTTAAATGTAGTCAGTCTAAACATGGTACAAGTGTTTGTCACTAGTCAATAAAAAATAGGTGATAGCGGAAGTTGAAAAAAAAATAGAATTTGACCTTCATTTTTGTATCCCAGCTTCTATACTTTCAAATATACTAAAACAGTGCTTCCCAAACTTTTTCGACTCACTGCGCCCTTTATGATCTAAGGTTTTTTCAGGGCACCTCTCCCCAAGTCATAGCAAGACTAATCATAAGGAAAATTTTAGACCACATAGTATTTATGACTGAGCGGCGCCAGATGAATTCAGAAATTTGGCGTCCAGGTGCTAACATTCCCCCCCCCCCCAACAAAAATGATTTAACTTTTTTCACTTACTGAGGGGCGCTGGAGCTTATCTTCCAGTAACTGCCCGTAGGTCGTATAACAGCTTTTACGTTATCGTTATCTTTTCAAGCGCTTTCTATCTTATTTGTTATATTATTGTTTTTAATGTATTCACTTTTTATATTTTCTGGTGGAACCAGTTCCCATTGATTATTTAATCAAAAATTTCCATTAAATAATTTTTAGTAGTTAGAAAAAGAAAACACAGTTTAAACTTTAAACATTATGTTACTTTTATAAATTAATCACAAATATAAAATAGGTTTATTTATTGTTTATTATTATTAAAAAACAATATTTAAAATTTGCATATTTTTTTTACGAGTTTTAAAGGAATTATACTTATTGATTATGTCATCATACTGTAAACTTTTTGTGATGTTTGATTCAATATAGCCACACTGTTTAGTTGTTCATCGGTCATTTATGACCGCAAATAACTTATTTATGTTTTGAAGGTGAGGTTTTTCGTCGACAATTTTTGTCCCCCCACCCATGAATATTTCCAATCTTGGAATATTATTTTAGATAAAAAAAAAAAAAAAAATTAACCAATTTATATTATAGTTCATCAACATGAAATGGAATGTGTAAAAATCTGATGCACACTCTATCCTCCTAAAGATGTCACTGCGCGGCACCCCTGTGCAGACATTATGGCGTACCAAGGCGAAGCAGAACACACTTAGGGAACCACTGTACTAAAACAAATACTATGGATTAGATAGTGCCAATAATTTATTCTAAATTAGGGGGTTTTAAATTTTTCTAAAATTAAGTAATTATCTAATATTATTTAAAAATACATATAAATTATGAATTAATAATTCTATAATTATATTATTATAAATACAAATGAAGAGTTATTTACAACATTATATAAATAAATGTTATCGTTCTCTATACTTTCGTAGCACGTCATCTATGATTTTTGAATCTTTTTTTTTTTTCTAGGGGGATGTCGAGAACTGGGATCCCTCTTTCCGAAAATTTGCCACAGCATATAATATATATAAATAAATATCAAATTAAATGTATAATAAATAATAAATATAAATGCAAATATATATGCAATAACATTTTCAACTTTTTTTACTTTAAATTATTTATTTTTTCTCCTCTATTACTTGAACACTAAGTAAACCAAAAACCACTGTAAATCAAATTTTCAGTTTGGTCCTCTGAATTTCAAATTATTGAGCGACTACTATATACATATAATGCATATCTTTTAATACAATATTATTTGTATTAATTAGTTTAGTTATTGCCAAAGACTGTTTCATCAATAAAAATTACATTTTTATCAAAGCTTTCTAAAAAAAATATCATTAGTTATTATTTTATCATTTTTAATGATAGATAATATTGTTTTATTGAAAAACAACATTTTTTAATTTTCAGATTTATCAAAATTAATTATTAAATTTTATAATTTAAGGATACTGAAAGATTGATACTTTACCAATATTATATTTAGCACGTAAGAAAAAGTATCTAGATTTCAAAACATCTAGTAAGTCAACTAATCGATCAATTTGTTCATTTAATTCATCCATTTTATTGTTTATGGTTTAAGATCTGAAACGTTAATTCATAAATATTTTAAATTATTGATTTTATTATGGATTATTATAATTATTAACAAATTAAGCACAAGTAAAACATTATACATAAATTAGATATTACATTCATACTACTTGATACTCCAAGTTTAAAGATAAAAATGTATGTATATATCCAGGAGGATATTTAATTATTACACTTTTATATTAATACTTCAGCAAATATTTTCTTATAATGTATACAATATATATATATTTCTTTTAGTAATATTTAATGCATACTCGAAAAAAAAAAGGTAATTTTTGATACCTAGCGTTAATACAATTTGCATCCTTGCTCTATATTAACTAACTTCTCAGTCATTTAGCCATATAAGAAAAAAATGTATAGCTTACCTTCTTTCGGTAATATTTTCCAATACTATATAGACTGGTGATGACTATCAAATGCGTTTGAAAATTCAAGCTACGTTCTTTTCATCACTCGTTATTCCGGCTTCTCGTATTCGTGATCAGGGCTGCCAGGTTAAAAAAATCGAATGTTTAGACAATTATTAGGTTTGTTCGTTTTGTCAAAGTGTTCACTTTTTCACAAGTGTACACCAAAGCGTTTGTTTTGAAAAAGTGTAGTCTTACACGCTGTTTTAAAAAAGTGTAACATTAGTGTACACTTTTTTTACACTAATGTACACTATGCTGGGCTTGTGTCAGTTCTCCTCATTGATAAGAGATAAAAATGATAAGAAAGCATTTTATAATGATACATCCTTCGACCATATAAACTAGTTTATACAAAAATTATGATCATGAAGAACATATCCCTATTAGAAACCATTTGATGGACCACAACTATATTTTGCCTGATGTGTTTGAAAATAATGTTGAGGAAGTAGGTGTATCATTGAATGAAGATGTCGAAGTGATAGCAGTGACAGAAATATATCAAATCATTCCTGGTGTTCAAAATCGAACACGTATTGATGTGGTGGATAATTTAGGATTAAAATATAAACGTGGTATTATACCATTATATATAAATATTACACGTGGTAATCGTGTATATCTCATATATAGACACAAGTAAGCTTAATTAATGAATGCTTGTGCATATTGTTATAATAGTAAATTCTTTAACCTTTTTTGCGCTTATTGTATTGGTTCTCATAACTGCTGTCTATATATTAGTATACCTACTTAGTCTACATTTTTTAATTAGTTTTCAATTTATTGCGCATATCAAGAATTTTTGCATTAAATATTTGATTTTAAATAGGTAATTTCAAATACTTTAATAATCCTAGATGGTGACAATTATATAAATAAATAATATAGGTATTTATTTGCTTAAATACTTGTAAATCATTTTTCGGCATATAACTACTGTTACGTGCCAACCGATCGATCTGATTATTCAGTTACAATGTCTCTGTCAACGTTTGAGTGGAAGTGTAGTCAGGAATAATTAAGACTTCTTTTTAAAATAATTAAATTTATTCAACTTATAAAAATTATCCTAACTACAAATTCTGTAAATATTCTAGTGATAGAAATTATCTAAGTCCTAACAATTGTAACTTATAAAATAATTAGAAATATTTCTAAGTCCAGACCATAACATACACTGACGTGAAGGTGCTCAGTGCAGCATAGACAAGACTCGTCTGATTTGTCCTTGTTTTCGGGTCCCTTTTATATGTGATATGGCATGTGTGTGTGTGTGTAAATGAAGACGATAATAAAATAAGATAATTTCCTATAGATTGTGAATGTGTGTGCGTTATCTCCGGACCGTGACATAATTATTGACGCAAATGCCCAGGATGTGGTCACCACATAATTCCGATAAACTATTTTATTTCAATTTCCCATAAAAACGTTTATGTGAACCCTTTCACCTGTCCACGCTTGTGATTTCGATATTCTAATTCCTTATTGTAATCTCTAGTGTAATAACCACATGAGCTCAATAATCTAACTTATCCATAGTTGTGGTTTTTGATGTACATGGGAACCTCCTTGTGATGTGTTTTACCGTGTGACTACGCGGGACGCGACACTACATGGGATTAATGTTATTGTTTTTAGATAATATCTATTATATATTGGAACATACATCCAACAAAACTATGATGCACTGTCAATTGTATTATTATACTGTGTTATAAACTCAAATGCTCATATAATGATGATTCATTGATGAATTATGATTGAACATGCCTAGTCAACTGTGAAATAAACTAAGTTCAACATTAGAATATAATATTATTTGGTAGGAAATCCAAACCGTTCCAAGTGCCTTCTGGTGTTCCTCAAGGCAGTCACTTAGGTCCCTTATTGTTTAATATTTTTATAAACTCAGTCTGTTCAGTAATTTCTCCCGCACGGATTCTGCTATTCGCCGATGATGCTAAGATATTTCATGCAGTGTCATCCCTAGAAGACAGTAAAATACTTCAAAATATTTTGGATAAGTTCTCATCTTGATGTGAGATTGTTGGGCTTTCTCTGAATATTGGGAAATGTAGAATTATGTCATTCTATCGGACTCGGCAATTTATAAATTTTGACTACTCTCTTAATGGTTTGCAACTTTATCGTGTTGACCAAATCATTGATTTAGGGTTTCTTTTTGTCCCATCCTTAGACTTCCATCCCCACATTGATTATATTGTTAGTAAATCTGTTCGTGTTCTTGGTTTTATTAGACGACATTCCACTAGTTTCAATTCTCCTAAGTGTCTCTCCGCGCTTTATTGCGCGCTAATACGTTCTGTATTAGAGTATGGAGATATTAGTTGGGTTCCATACACCATATGCGATTCACTAAGGGTTGATAAAGTGCAGAACAGGTTTCTGAATTATGCTGGCTACTGTTTAAATATATTTCATCTACCCCACGATTATCAACTTACAAATGATGTTCTGCGTCTCGATTCCCTTGCATCTAGACGTCAAACTCATTGTTATCGATTTATAACGGGATTGGCAAACGGGCAAATAGATGCGCCTCGTTTGTTAGAAAGACTCAGTATCCAGGTTCTCAGCAGCACTCGATCCCAGGAAACTTTTTATATACCTACCAGTAGGTCTAATTTTTCCGCTAATGCACCACTCCTAAGAATAATGCGCATTTATAACTTGAATACCCTATGACACTTCGTGCCTAGGCTACTTATTTACTTATATTTTTTATTATTTAAGTTAAATCACTCATATATATTGCTTTATTTTATCAGTTATAATTTATGTCTCATTGTAATGTTACGTATTCTGTGTTCTATCCTGTAAAAGCCGATTGGCGTTAATATATGTAAATATACACTATATTGGATATAAACATAGTCGAAACTTTTTATTTTATTTCATTAGGACAGGCCAAATTATAAACATATATAAATACAATACATTCAAGTGGTCTATATATATATTTATATTTATTTATTTTAACAGAATATTGTAGGCATTTTAAATGTTGAAATAAATTAATTAATTTTAATTTTAAATTCTCTTAACTACTAAATCAGTATGATATCCAGCCAGTATTAGGTCAGGCCCATGGCTTGACTGGCCTGTAGTTTCGCTTATGGATATAAATAATATATAAATCATATAAAATGGTATTTTATGTATGTATTCTGCCTTACTTTATAATATATTTTATTTCATAGTCTAAAAATTGTTTTACTATTGTAAAACGATTAATATAGTATATACCAATATTTTGATTTGATGACACTGATACTGATGCTCTCAAAATTATATTAGTGTCTCTAAAAGTATTTAAACAAGTATTGTGGACCTTATAGTGATAGCTGATTTGATGTTGCATCATGCAATAGTTTTCTCTCCTGTTAAAATTATATCTTGTGCAAGACTATACATTCTGAATGAAATGGAATTTATAGGACTAGGTATTAGTGTGAATGTGATGTCAGTTTGATGTCATATTTGTTGAAATACTTTGGCATTTTACTCACTTTATTCACATGTTAAATTGTTTTAGTTTTGAATTTTCAATATTTATCTATTCATCTTATTCTTTTTTTTTTTTAAATATATATTTATACAGTGTATACTCTGTACAATAAAAATAACTTTGAATTAGTGTAAATTGTTATGACTCTTATTTGAATTATTTACTGTATTATTATAATAAAAATGTTAATACATAAATGATGTGACAAATAAAATAATTACAATTTTATTTTTTTAATAAATATTTAATACTTATATTTTTTATTTTTTTGAAGTTTTCATTAATAAATTTCCAGAATTTTGATGGTTGATGTTTAAAACCTTCCTGGATATTTTTTAAATAATTTTGGTAATTTAATTTAGAGAGAGCTTTACACTGGGCACGTATATTTGAGAATTTATTATAATCATTAATGGCACTAGAGTTTTTAAAGATTTTATGAGCAATTTACTTTTTAAATATTAAATTTTTTAGTTCAAAACTAAACCATATAGGATATTTTTGACGAGTTATAATTTTTTTTTGAACAAATATATCAATAATTTCATAAATAATAGAATAAAATAAATTTGTAACTTCATTTACATTAAGATTTGAAAATATTTCAACCCAATTTATTGAGCCTAAGCATTTAATGATATCAGAGTAATTACACAAGTAAAAATCTTAAGTAAATAAATTATAATCAATAGGCTTATAAGTACTATTATGAATAATTATAAGATGGATGGTGAACATCACAAGGAACAAAAGGAGTAAATTTAGAAACTGTAGAATTATCAATATTAGAAAGAACTAGATCAAGAATGTTGTTATTTTTATTTAAAACAGTATTGAATTGGGATAAATTTAAAAATGAAATTGTAGATAGAAAGTCTACTGACAATTGATTCAAATTTAAATAGTTAGGTGAACAGGAAGGAGAAGTGAATTGCCATTTTAAGTTTGGCGTATTATAATCATTTACTAAAATTACATTTTAACGTAGGGATAGAAAATTAATAGATTACTATTAATATCGAAGTGTTTATTGTATAATGTTATAGGTGATCGAGGATGAAAATAAGCATTACCTAAAATATAGTAAAGAAAATTGATTTTGACAACAAATAAATGTTCTACGGAACAGGGAGGTAAGGGTAACATACGAGAATAGTATTTATTATTTATTACAATTAGCACACCACTACCTCTTGAACAATCATATATTGTATATTAAATACTGTTTATCCATAATTTTCTATTGGTGTATACTGTATGGTATTTAAATTTGCTTTGATTCTTCTGATTACAGTCAATATTTCCATTTTTAACTGCCACTACTGACAGAAGTTAAGGAGTTTGAAAAAATATCTTCAGAATACTTCACCTGAGTTATGGCTTATAGGCTTGATCTTTTTTCCATTTATAGATATGTAAATATAATGAATGATATGGTAATATATAAGTTTTCCAATAGTGGTAAACTGGTAAAGCTAGACGATTAAAATTAAAAATCTAATTTAGTTGTAGGTTTAGTTTATGGTTTTTTAATTCATATGTTAATGCTATTATAGTTTTATTTTGTAATGTAATATGTAGCTGATTAGTGCTTCGCCAAAAAATACTTGGATATGCCACTGAATGTTATAAATATTCATGTACTAGACTCCATACTTCCAACTAAGATTTGCTTATAGGGAAATATTTACACTAATATTATAATTTATATTTAAATATTATGTATGTGATAATATTAAAATATCAATAAATCAAATCAAATTTTATCCTTTGTTAATACTTTTTCATAAAATAACATAATGTTCATATTGTTTTTCTTCATCTTTTTAGTTTAATGTACATATATAGTCATGATTTTTACAAAATATTTTCATAGACTGAAGTTAATTAGTTGATGAGTTATTTCAATTACCTACCTAATTATTTTATTTATGTTATTAATCATATTTTTTTTTTACAATTTTATGTAATTGATAAATTTAAATGGTTCTTATTATTGCTTATTAATACAGCAATTATATTAAATAGTTTATGTGATTTTACTTTTGTAGAAGTACTGGTGTATTTCTCTCGAAAATATTAATAACTTCTAATAATATCTAAGCAGATGTGAATAATTAAAGTGGAAATTTAATTTATTTTAACAATTTTCTTTTAATTTTGACAAAAAATTGGAAATTTTACATTTTCATACGTGTTTTGTCGCACCTGATGACCTTACGAAAATTTTTAACATAGATCTACATATAGAATTTTACAGTATGACCTGTCGTATACGCAACGGAAAGGCTTAACATATATAACAGATATATTTCGATTATTGAGCCTCAGACCGTCAAAGATTAAATATCAATACCTTTCGGTTAAAACTTATTTACTTTTGGTGACCATGATAACGAGTACTGGACAAATTAACAAGTACCACAGGATTTATACTTTATAACTCTAGGGTATTTTTACTCACTAATAACTGACCACGATAACTAGTACTAGATGAAAAATTAAGTACAGAAATATCTTGTTACTTTACAAAAGTGTTTTATCACCACAAACGCTTCAGTACACACACTAGGATTTGATACTCCCATTTACTAGGAAAAAATGAAAAACAAACATTTTATAGTTTAAAACTTAATTAGAGTATAATAACTTCAAAGTCTCACAATAAAAGACACAATGTACTTTTAAATAATAACTTGTCGTTAGCCGCGACTGCTTGATCACCGTTGCTGTTGCCTTATATAGGTTTTGAAATTTAGGTGACAGCAATCATTTATTTTTGCCTCGTATGTAATTTATTACGAACTATGAAGTTTCAAGCTATAATATTTTGTGACATTCATATATGGAACAATATAACAGATCCATTTTTAATTTTTTCAAAAATATTGGTTTTGAAATTTGAATTTGAAAATAAATAAATTTGATTTTAAAATAAATAAATTTGAAATTCAGGGATTTTTTTTTATTATGTTAATGACACTGTAGAGGTTGGATTGCTGAGAATTTTTTTTTTTGACGTTGGTGCTAATGAATTTGAAAACCTGAATTTTTATTTCTTATCAATGAGGAGAACTGAAACAAGCCCCACACGGGGCGTCTGGAGACAGCGCCTCTTATCTGCAATATATTATCAGTATTACACTATCATTACGGTTGCAATATCACACAATCGGTTGATTACATTTAAATATTATATTTAAACAAACAGCCATAATATTATATTATTTAATAATTATATTCATTGTAATATATTAACTATTTAGTATTATTAATTTATATAGTACAAATTACAATGTCATCAAGTGAAGAATTAGAAGTAAAAAATTTAAAATTTTGTTCTCTTCAAGGTAATGATTTAAAAAATTAATAATAATATGTAAAACCAGTCTTGTTTGTAAAGTATTTGTATATTATTTGTATACATATTCTGTCATATACTCATAACCATCCAATTCAAAACTGACAAATATTAGCGGGGCAAAAAATATTATATTCTAATAATCTAATAGTATTTGAATACAAAATAAAAGTATTTTATACAATACTACAAAACTAAACTTTGTAAGATATCTAAATTTAATTAAAATGTACTGTAGATTGAATGTTGTAAGTATTATATTCAATTACTTGAGAAACTAAATTATATTTTGAAATTATACCTATATAATATGTACTTATTATTATAATTATAGGTAAAATTGAAAGTGGAATTCCACAAAATGTAACAATTGATCAGTTACGAAATGAAACTGATTATAATATTGAATAAAAAAATATTACAACAAGGAAAGACATATATAACATTTCTAATTCTTCATTTGAAGACATTTTAGTTTGTACTATATAAATTAATTATACTAAATAATTAATATATTACAATTAATATAATTATTAAATAATATAATACTATGGCTGCTTGTTTAAATATAATATTTAAATGTAATCAACCGATTATGTGATAAGGCAACTGTAGTGATAGTGTAATACTGATAATAATAGTGCAGATAAGAGGCGTTGTCTCTAGACCATAGATGATAGATTATTCTATTATCTATGATTGTGACGGGCGCGTGATTTGATAATGCCGCTACTTAGTTTTCGTTTAATTTTTCTTCGGGATTCCACTTATCGCGGAAGGCGCGAACGGGCGTGCTGAAACCGCTGAAAATCGATGGTGTTTCACCGTCTAAAAAAAAAAAACCCGGGTGCTAAAAGTTTTCTCTTACCCCCTAGTTATGTCTAAGGTTAATGAATTACCATTGCTTATTTTACAAATTTATCAATACGAATTAATGGTTAACAAGACCACCCGATACTTTAGCACTAAATTTTAAATGTATTTCAAATATTCTGTAAAAACGTAAAACGATAGTACAACGGAGCTTTTCTACCTACCAAGTGCAAAACATGCTAAA